AGTAAGGCTACAGGCCCAGAACTAGAGGGCAGGTCAGCAAATGCCACTGTCAGGAGTAACACAAAGAAGAATTGCGATGCAGAGACTGACATTAGAGGCCTAGAATATTTTCCCAGGAGCGGCCTCAGTGTTTGGGAGATGGCTAAAGGATAAGATGAAGGCACCTCCCTTCATGTCACCAGGAAGTAGCCACCTAAAAATGCAATCTGTGGGAAATAAGCTGTACTCTTCAGCCGATCGCTCCCGGGTGATCTGATAAAGTCAGTTCTCTGGCCCCGCATCAGGGAGGGCCAGGTGGATGGTGAACTAACCTAGAGGCCAGTTTCCTGCCTGTATTTATCATGTTATTGGCCAAGAATGAGGGGGAGAGACTAGAGATTGTTTGCCATTGAGATTTTAAGACAATAAGTGGGTTCCTTGTCCCACTACATTCAGTATTTACTGAAAAGAGACCACAGAGAGTTTGGACCCCAGAGAAGGAAAAAGGAGACTTTGGTTTCGTTCAGCCGCCGGCAACTTGGCAAATCAACCAGCCATCTAAGACCAGATCTTCTTAAATGTCAGTCTTCCCTTGTTATAACAAAACATGTCCCACCCAAACCCATGGTGAGCTTTTGTTTCTTAGTTACTGAGAAGGAGGATATTGTACCTCCTTCTCAGGAACTTCGCAGAGGGGAGCCCTTGCTTTCCTGCTCCTCCTTAGGACTTCCTATGGCAATACTGCCCACAGACACCAACAACAGGGTCTCCTGCCCTGGGCCCTGCCCCACAGAGGGTCCTTCTCTGACCCTTTCTCTGGCCACATCTTCGATGGGGAGTCAGCAGGGCCAAGGGGACATGCCCCGTTGGTGCTGCCCCATGCTCTGGCTATCCAGGACCCCAGACTTCCCTGCACAAGCAGCCCCTTGCCTGCTTCTAGTGTCTGCACAGATTCTTGGCAGAGTTCAAATTCCCAAGGACTCAGAGTGGCCAAAGAGCAGCCGTTTGCATTGGGGGTGTGGACAGAACCTGAGCCGGAGTTCGGGGTGTCCACACAGGGGCACACACGGCAGGGATGTGGCAGGGATGGGTTTATGTGGCAGGGATGGATCCAACATCAGGAAGAGAAGGGTCATAGACCTCCGGCTGGCAGTTAGAGGCTGGGGATGAGTTTTCCCTGCACTGCCATTATCCTCTGCAGAACTCTGATGAGTCTGAGAATTCTAAATTTGAGCCTGGCCTTCTACCCCATTATGAATGTATATTTGTAAGGTAGGAGGATAGAGCATATTGAACTTAAAACACTTAGCTTGATTTAAAACTTTTTGGTATTTAGATATATAGTATGTGAGCTTCCAGCTATACTCTGGCCCTGTACCCCTAAGAGTTTAGAAAGTTATGCTGGCCGGGGCGACCTTTGTTGCATGCTGAGATTGCACAAGGCGAAGGCCTGCCTCTAGAGAGGAACTCCTCTGCTTGCTCTGAAGACAGGATCTTTTGAACAGATAAAATGCTGGAAAAGGGGATAATAAATTTTAAGTTTATTTAGAATGACTGCGTGTATGTGTGTCTTTGGATGTATGTGGTTGTGTATATGTTATGTGTGTGGGTGTGCATGAGTGTGACTGTGTGAGTTTCTGTGGGTATATATGGTTATATACATACTGATGTGGGGGGGGGGGGGGTGTTTGTGTGTATGTACAGCGGCCAGTCAGTATGTACAGACTTAAGTTTTGAAGTCTGAAGAAGTGAAAATTTTGGCGTCCCAAAATTAAAATTATCTTAAAAAATAAAAAATTATTCCCAAATTCTGATATTTTCTCCTTTATTGATTATTTCCTTATTTTACATCTGAGGAAACTGTAGCTTAGAGAAGCTAAGTGGCTCACCCAAGGGCACAGAGCTCATGAGCCCAGGGCCAGGATTCAGTCCAAGCAGGATGGCCCCAGAGCTCTGGAACCTGCTCACTATCATGCGTGGCCTCTTGGCTGGGAGAGGGGACACTGGAAGCCAGGTAGAAAGTGCCGGAAAGGGCTCCTCAGAAATCAGAAAAGTTCCCAGGTCTTGGATGTGTAAGGAGGCTCCCTGCTCATCCTTGATCCCTTTGGTGGTGACAAAGAGAGACTAAGGTCCATGAGAGCGCTGCTGGGGGCCAAAAAACAGGGCAACTGCTGCTTAAGAACTATTTCTGCGAAGTGGAAACAAGAGAAGAGCAATGTCGCCTCTTGGTGGAATTCTTTGGTAGTGGCAGTAGGTGGCCTGACCGCCTGAGTAGGTAAACAGATAGGCAAATGTTCTCGCCTCCTGCGTGGATGATCATTTTTAACTGTCTTAAAACATCGTTGTTTCATATATTTTATCAATTTCGGGGGTTATTTTAAGCGATATGGTAAACACCGTCTCTGTTATTCTGTCTTAGCTGGGTTTCTATTGATTTATTTTTTTTATTGTTGTTTTTCAATGATTTGCAAATTATTTGGCCATTTAATGAAGTTTTCTTTAAAATTTTATAAATCATATCTAAGTTCACAACTTTATATGTAATTGAACCAGTATTCCTCTAACAATTTATAAAATTAAAAAAATCTATTATATCCTTTTCAGCGATAATGATAATTTAGCATACTTTGCCTCTCTGCTGCTCCAAATGTGCACATGTATTCCAATTGCTTTAAGTTTGTTAAATTAACTATGAAAAACTAAACTTAGCTATACATTTATTTTATTTAACTGCTAACATTTGTTAACCCCATGTCTCTCCTATTTTTAAAGTTACTTACTTGTATTGATACATGATTGGTTAATTTGTTTTCAAGTGGTGGATTTGGGATCTTCACATGTCTAAACATATCTTTATCTTCTCCTCATTCATCAATAATACTCACCCTGCTAATGAATGCCTATGCCTCAATTTTAAGTATATCACCAAAAAATGTTCTCGTGATTTAAAGTGTGCCCTTTTCATTACTGGCTGGTCTTCCCTGCTAAATTAATAATAGAGATGTTCTTAACCTTCCTCTTGCTTTTTGCAATAACTCAGCTTCACTGAGGAGCACGCCTTCTAATTTCTCTAGTTGGTCTCCTGCTTTTGGACTGCTAAATCATTACCACATTTTTTCTCCATGCCTGTTCTTTACAGAGTGAAATCTCTATCAGATTAGAGATGGTTCCCATCAGAGATGTGTGGTTCCCTGTCCAAAAATGCCCAAAGGAAGAGAAAAGGGAGGATTTCTATTTCTAATGGTAATATTTTGTGAAATTAGAGAGCCAGTTATCTGTGTGGCTGCAGCAGAATCTACAATAACTTGGCTGAAAGTGTCCTTTTTCATATTAATTAGGGGAGCAGAAGTTCGCTGGGGACACGGCGCCCTTCTCTGATGCTTATCAGGACCCTGGTGCCCAGCGATCCCCCCTCCTTGCCTCAATCCTTCAACCTTGCAAACAGGATTCCTGCAGTGTGAACCCTGGCTCCTTACCTTACTGCACCTGAGGCCAGGTTTGGCACCCGCCACATTTCGCCAGCGTCCCTGCCTCACCCCACCTCCTGCCCTGCTACCAGCTGGCCCTGAATGGAGCTGGTCTCCACTACGCTACATAGTCTGAAGAAATTCTTCAGCATATCTGACAGGTAGAGGGCACCCTGCTTCCATGTCTGTATCTCTTTAGTCTCTGCAGAGGAAATTTAGGAGGATGAGAAGGAAGAGTTCAACTTGCAGGTTTGCATCCCCACCTTCCCCGCAGCTTTATGAAGGGGGTCAGCACACTGACTATGGTCCTTGGCCTGGTCAGCACACACAGCTACGAGATTACAGAGCTGAGGAGTTGTTTGCAGGCAGTTTGCTCCAGGACTTCAGGGGAGGAAAGACCGACAGCTCTGGGGCAGGGCAGGGCCTGGGCTCCTTGTGGGAGCTTCAGGGCACCTGGATGTAAGAGGCAGCTTTGGGGAACAGGTCACATGGCAGCAGGGCATGATGATCGAGACTGAGTTTGTGGGGCTTTGCTCAGCACATGTGGGCAGGTGAGTGGGAAGTAGAGGAAAGAGCAAGGGGCTTGGTTACCTAGAAGATTTTGATTTGACTTTGGGTTTCACCACATATTAACCTGTGACCCATGAAAACTCCTTATGTCAGAGCCTGTTTTCCCACCTGTAACATAAGTAATAATGATAGGACCACCCTCAAGGGTTTAGGGGGGATTGGATGAGGTGCTATGTGTAAGACACTAATACTGACCTATACGTTGTGGGTCTGCCATGAGTCCTGGGCTCTTATTTGTGAAAGGAAGAGCTGAGAGGGGCAAAAAGGGCTCTTTCCTTTTCTTTCTCTTCCCCAGTATCTCCACTCCCCTTTCACCCTTTGAGGTGACAGCTCAGCTCTCCCTGGTCCTCTGACTCTGGCTTGACACCCCTCTCAACTCCAACCCCCCACCCCCCAGTCTGGCCTTGCTGCTTCCCTTCCAGGACCATCTGCATGTATGTTTTTGTAACCCTCTCCCCTCATCCCAACCATCTAAATCCATCCTCTTATAAATCCACAGAGGTGTTCGCAAATCCATGTGGCCTGAACTTCTCAGAGGACTGGAGCAATTTATCGCCTCCCTCCCCAATCAGAGCTCAATGATTCACATGTTCAGCTTTCCATGTGCAAGGAATGGTTTCAAAGATAAAGGTGTGGTCGGATGTTTCCATTTATGGAGCCCTTCTCTGGCTTCTCCCCAGGGAGCTGTCAGAACTCGTGGCCAACAGAGACGGGTCACACACCAGGAAGCCAAGCACGGTAGATTTACTAGGGTAATATCTGCAGGTGAGATAACAGCACATACACACAGAAATCCACGGGCAGACGCCACTCGGCACCACAAACACCAAAGCGGAGGTGAGGGTCTGGAAGTGGCTTTGGGACATTCTCTTGAAAATCCAAGGGCAACTTTGGTGCTCAAAGATTCAAACGGAAAACTATACAAAACCAACCCATAAATATATATATATATATTATATGTGTGTTTTTATATATATATATATATATAAAATTGCAAAATAAAAGCCCAAGAAATAATCCTCAGTCTGCGCATCAGTGGCTCAAAAAGTGTTAGCACAGGGAAAGGCAAAACTGTGGGGCTGCTGCGTGATCCGGGGCCTGGCGTTTCAGTAGCAGGAAGAATATTTACATGGAACCCCTATTTGAAATTCTACAATACTAGGACAACCTAAACACAGACCGTGTATGTACAAGGGAGACGATTGTCAGACACGGACATGTCACTGAAACCATCCACAGCTTTAGAGAACGCCACACACTCTCTCTAGGCCCCGCACCCCAGCCAGGCCAGCCCAGGCCCTCACTGCCCCTCCTCCTGGGGGAGGACGCCCAGCAGGGCTCAGCAGGCATAGCACTCGTTGCAGGAATTTAAAGGTGGAGTCAGCCACTGAGATCCATCACTCAAAACGCAGGCCCAAGAGGAATGAGGTGGAGTTGAAAGGTGAGGGTGGGGTCCCCAAAATATATTTCCATTATATAAGGGCTTTGATGTATTTAAATGTGGCCCCTCTATCCTTAGTCCAACTGTTGTCCGCCTTCTGATTCACTTTGAAAGGGATGATCTGGCCTTTGAGCTTCTAAAAGTTATACAAGGTGATTTGCTGGAGGGGAGAAGAGTTTACGTTCTTCTATTGTCTCTCCCACCCCACCAATACTTAAACCTTTGCAACATCTTTACACAACTTAGAGATAGGGGACTTGAACATGACAGCTGGCCTCATCCTGCTTGCCTGGGACAGGGGATGCAACAAGGAGCTGAGGAGCAGCTGCCCTGGGAAAGCCACCTGGACGTTCTCACACGGAGGCTCCGGCTACACCCGAGTGTCCCCCTGCTCCCGTGTCAGTAATAGTGACCATTTCTCCCTCACCTTCAGGCTCCAGTTTCTCAAAGACATGACCCATCTTGGGGACATCTTGAAGGAAAATGGCACCAAACATCAATTCGACAAAACCTAATACCACCTAAGTATGAACCAATGCAAACCATTACGTACACATATTTAAGAACACCCCCAACTAGGGGTTCTGTCTAGTTGTTCTTAAAGAGAGAAGCCTGTCTAGATAAAAATGATGAAAGGAGCTTTCTCCACTGAAGATTCCCCACCCGACATCCCCACATTGATTCCTGGGCGAGGGTGGCTTCTCACTGGGAGAGGCTACAGGGTTGGGTGTGCTTTGGTGACAGGGTTGTGTGTGTGCCCCATCCAAGGGGACACAGGTTAGTTAGATGGCACATTTGGAAATAATCGCTCTCCTCTGTATGCTTTTTGTATTGTAGTGTGAGTGGACCTCTGCAGATAGGTAACCAATCAGCATATTTCATTCAAGGCCTCTTACTTATCATATTACATTATCACTTTCAGAATAGATGTGGGACATTGGCAATAAGATGTCCCTAATGGGTTTTGATTTGTGAGGTGTCTTGTCTTTTCTGTGGGGAGTGCAGGGCATAGATTTATCTCCTCTCTCATTTCTTCTCAGACTCTGAGTTTTATCATCTTAGACAGTGTGCTTAGGCTCAAGCGGTGAGAAATGGAAGACCCATTTCCTCTGAGCTCAAAGTCAACTGCATCCGTGCCAGCCAGATCAAGGTCTTCTGCTGACCTCCATGAAAGAAATAAGTGCCGTTTGTTTTCTCACTTGTTCAACAGTCACAATCTGAACACTTTTGGCCTGGAACTAGAACATAAACACACTTCTGCAAAAGATGGCAGGCTGGCCGATGGTGGGCTGTGTCCATCTATCCCTATGCATACCTGCATGAAAAACTCCACACTTCTTTCTCATCTTTCAGACTTCCAGAAGTGAACTGTGCTCTTGGGCAAATGGTTCTTTCCAATCCATTCAGTCAGAGAAGTGGCTTTATAGCAGTTCTCTCCATGCTGACAAAAGCAGTAGCCCTCTGTTATGACACTGATGAATGACATCTGAATGATTGCATGGCCACATTCAAAAACGAGTGACAGAATATTAGACGCACGGAGCAGGATTCAGGCTCAGCATATACATAGTGAGTGGTATAAGGGCAATGTGCCGTGGGGTTTATCCAAACACACCCAGTCCTTGAAAAAGAACTTCGCTGTCTGCAGAGGAAGAATCCCATTTTTGTTACAGGAATATTGAGGAAGGTTATTCTTATCTGTGTATAACCTGGACGAGGTAGGACAGTTCCTTGGGTCACCTGCAGGCCAGCAGGCTCTTAGGGAACCCAGATCTGGGCTGGGGGTTGTATCTTGTCAGCACTTTTTGCAGTTTGAGAAGGTCACACGGTGTGGATATTCCCCCATACCACTGCTGGGGACCAGCCTCCAGTGCACGGAGAGCCACTGAGACTCCGCTTGCCTCCCTGTAATCATCTGCCCCTCTGCCTCCCTGCTCCTGCCCATCTCCCCAAGGAAACCACCTCAGAAACCTCTTTTCAGTTCAGCTGGCCATAGCACGGCAGCCTGCTTCCACGTTCTTGTTCCTTTTCTGTAGCATATCCAAGCTCAAAATGAACTACTGCCTACCAATTCTGAACTTCCCATATATACATTTTCTCCGGACAGATGCTGACCCAAGTTTTCAGCCAGCTTCTAACCAGAACCAAAAACGATATCCCCTCCTGTCATCCTAAAAGCCTGTGGTTCTGTTTGGACTATACATCTGCTGCAACAGCATCCCGTGCACGACCTCACGCCTGAGCTAAGCATGCCACATCCAGTATGTGCAAGGGAAGAGCAACTACACAAGCTAACAGAGAACTAGAAACTGTGCTAAACAGTAGCTCTTTGAATATTTCCTTTGTGAGTGAGTGTGTGTGTGTGTGTGTGTGTGTGTGTGTGTGTATCTCTCTTAAAATGCTTTATCCAAATAATTTGATGGAAATGAATTCTGTGCTAGAAGCTCACTTTTTGCCATATGGGAAAATGTAGCATAAGGCAGGTCACCAAACGTGGTTTAGAACGGACATTTCAGAATGGCCTCATTATGAGACATCTTCCATGCCTCCATCCCACTCCTCTTTAGTCCATTCTCCACTCAGCCACCAAAGGCCTTCTAAAATCTAGGGCTGATCATGACTCTACCCAATAGTAAGTCCTCAGTGGCTCCAAACCCCTTACAGGATAGAGGCTAATCCCTTCATACTTTCTACAAGTTCCTTTATGATCCAGCTCTGCCCACCACCTGTGAAATGAACCACTCCATCCTTACCCCTCACCCCACACCCTACACCTTAGGCTTGGGCTACACTGAATTTCTCAATGCATGAATCATAGAGTTTCACACTTCCGTGCCTTTGCTCATGCTCTTCCCACGGAATGCCGTGCCAAAGCTTTTGTCCTCATGGAAAATTCCTCTTTGTTTTGAAAATCTAACTCAACCATTTCTCCTTTCAGGAAGGTTTCTCTGGCCCCGAAGATGGTAAATCATTGCTTGTTAATGCCACCTCTGCACCCTTGCCTGTTCATAACTCGCCTTCTCTACTTAGGAGCTTCCAGAGGGAAGGGTCTAAGCCCTGCCCTCAGGCCTGGCCCAGGATCTAAGCTCAGATGTGTTTTTTGAATGTTACAAGGAATGAACAAATGGATAGATATGAGAAGGACACAAGGCATAAATTCCAAGGGCAATGCTGAAATTCCAGCAAGCCCTGGCATCTTCATCTAAATGAGGCTTCACTGCTGTGAAGGATATAAAGAGAATTGTTGAATGCAGAGTCAATCAACATATCTCTGAGTGCAGCCACTCAAACACAAAAAGCTGCATCAATAGTCTTGTCCATTCCACCCTTTTCTTAACATTGCTTGCCACTGATTATTCTAGTCACAATGATTGTTTTCCTTTAATGTCAGCATTATGCCTGACATTTAATGGGTGTGTAACAAATATCGTGAAGGGAATGAATGAATGAATGGCGAATCTACTTTTTTAAAGAAGGCATCAAAGGATTGGCTTTTAAAGGCATTTCCCACATCACAGACTTTTCTGAGGCATCAGTGCCCCTGATCATTGCATTGTCCATCATAAGACCCAATCAGAAAGTAGAATAGGGGAGGGGTGCACAAAGGTGGGGGGGAGGGGAGGGGGCTGGGATAGCACTTGGGAATCTGCACTACAGAGACACAGCATTGGGTTTTCCTTAGTCATGTGTCAGTTTCCTTCCTTCTCAAGAAATAGCCCAACTATGGATGGTATTTCCTGCCCCAACCAGAAGACCCTTGCATCTCCTTTGTCAGAGGTCCACACTGGCCTTGCCACCGTCTACATTAACCAAGAATATAACATACTGGTGAGGGAGAACACAGTTAATTTCCTACCTTCATTTCAGGTACTGACATTATGCAGTGGAGACACAAAAATGGGTGCTGGACTAAAACCACTGCCCTTGGAGATTAAAGATTTCTGATCACCATAGCTGTTAAGAGCAAAGGCTCTGGACTCAGGCTGACTTGGAGGGAAATCCAAGCTCTGTAGCTTTCTAGCCAAGTCACCTGGAACAAATCAATTATCCTTCTGGGGGCTCAGTTTCCTTACCCATAAAATGGACCAATCTTACCCACATTGCAGGATTATTGTGAGCATTAAAAGGTAATATATATAAAGCCCACACAGTGTCTACATATATAGTAAGTGCTCAAACATAGAGAACTAGGATTAAGAACTTTCAGAAATATTTTTACAATAATCAGGACAAAAAGGGAAAATATCCTTCGAAGACACTGTGCTTTAAAGAGAATGGATTGTCTATTTTTTAGAAGCCAACAATGCTCATTAATTAATACCCAATGGACAAATACAAAAAGATAGTGTTGGCATTTAAAACAATAACTGTGGCTCTTATCAGGCCCCAGGATGGACAGATAGTGACAGAACTGGGGACCCTTAAGCATGTCTCTGATTAATCCTGATAGGTTCATCTCATTCTCCTCTATTGGACCCCAGGTGACTGAGTTGGAACCCAAAGGAGCCAAGGAGGGTGCCAAAGGTAAGATGCCAGTTCTAGTCTATGGACCAGTGCTCCTCGGTTTGAGGAAAGGTCAGGAGACACCTCACTGCTGGACAAGAGTGAGACAGGTAGAGCTCCATGTGTCATGCAAAGCTAGAAAGGCAGAGCATTTCCTGTGTTGTTTTGAACATCCTCATATAACTCAAAGCCAACAGAGGATCCAAATTTCCCCAAATTTCTGCCCTGAGCATGAGACAACTGTTTTCTAAGCTAAATTTGGTTTTACTTTTGAAGCTCCTGAGATGCACAATTGTAATGGGTCAAGCCCCTGGCGCCTTCTATTGCTTCAGTTATTTCCCACCCTGTGGCTGACTTGGCTTGCTCTGTGCCTGCCAACTCTTTCAACTTTTCCAACCATAGTTCAGGAGGTTCCATGAAGAAAGCTCAGGGTTAGTGGCTGGGGAAGAACAAGCTAAGCCATCAGCTCTCGGGAACAGAGATTAACTTCTGGTGGAGGGGACAGGTCAATTTGTCTGGTTACTTTGAGCAGCAAGGCAGGGACCCTATGAAAAAGAGAGATTTCTAAACATAGTGATAGCTCCATCAGCAGGAGGCTGGGTTCCCATGAGGAAAAGGACCTTGTTCAGGGGAAGCCTCGACCTGATTTAGTCTGAGCCAGCGAGAGCTTGTGACCCACTCTGGCCCTCTTGCCCAGGGCTCAGCTCAGTGGGCAGCACCCTCACAAAGGCAGCCCACAACTAGGCAGTGTTGTGTAGTGGAAAGAGCACTGGCCTGGGAGCCAGGAGACCTGAATTCTAGTGCAGGCTCTGCCACTAACGAGCTGTGTGATCTTGACAAAGCCACCTGATTTCTCTGGGGCAATTGCAAATGAGGGGTTGGTCGGGCGATCTCTGTGTTCCCCATCAGAGTATGGTCCTGGGTCCTGCTCTATCCCTCCTTGGCCCTGTGCTTCCCGGGATGGACATGGGAGAAGGGAAGGTGGGAGAGAGGATGCAGATGGGAGCCCCAGGGTGCTACGAATCAGGACTCCACTTTCTCCTTCTTTTTGCTCTTTTTCAGGAAGGATGGGGTTCGGAATTTCTTTTTCTTCTTTGAGGGAGATTTGGAAGGTGAGCCCTCTGGGGACATGGGGCCGCTGGTGACCGACTCGGTTTTGTCCTTAGAGGTGTCAACATCTGTGTCGGCGTTGGTGGTCATCTGGCTCAAGCCTTTGCTGAGAACTTCCTCTGCGGTCTGCTCGTCCTCCCTCCCGTTGACCACCACCCCTTCTGGCTGTGTCGTTTCGGGCTCCGTGGCGGCTTTGCTCGTTTCTGTCTTCTTAGTACCTTCTGGAAAAAGATCAGAAGATGTGACCCATAAGATGTCATTCAGGTGGGAGCTTCCACCTGGGGTTACCAGAACCACTTCTAGGCAGTCCTACAAAGTAAGTCTAGGGCAGCAGGAGAGAGAGCAGGCTGACGGTGCAGGGCCTCGGGGCAGGCAGGGCTCTCATTCAAACCTGCACCCTTCCACGTGGCCTGCCCCGAGAACAGCCCTTGGCCGGACAGTGACCCTGGGCTCTGTCTACAACTGCAAACAGGGGATGGTGTCCAAACATGGCAGGGGGCCCAGCTGGGGCCCAGCTAGGACCATTCTAGGCACAGAACAAGGAAACAGACAAGGTGAGGATGGAGACTGTAGGAGGGTGGGGGAGGGGAGCAGTGCCATGTACAACTCAGTGGAGGCATCTAAGAATTGTAACTGGTTCAATTTCACCAGTAAATGTACGAAAATTATATGTTTCATACCCACTTCATTTCCTACATCAGTGAGAAACTTTTAGAAAAATGGAGAGTTACATTCTCCATAGGCAAAGAGGAGAAAGCAGAAGGAGGATGGAATTCCTGAGCGACGTGGACCCTGTGTTTCTAACATATGAGGATTAACCAAAAGGGGAAGATACCTTCGCCCATTCTAGCAGCCACCGCCCCACTCTGCACCCCAGGACTTTACCCTGCCTGGAGGGAACCTGTGAGGATTGGCACCATCTCCAAGGCCAGAATTTCTCAGATCCCAAAACAAAACCCTCCTGTGGCCCTTTCTTTCCCCTCCCACTCTCATACCACCCTGCTTCCACTTGAGCTGTGAAATGCCCGAATGGGGAGGGAGGAGGGAAAATGACAAAAACCAAAGACTTTGAAAAGTAGAAAGGAATGTCAAGATCATCTAGCTCACCTCCTCCTCATGTTACAGATATGCAAACTGAGTAAACAGTAAAAGAGGACGAGACAGCAGTATCCTGTCATCCAGCTCAGTGTCCTTTTCACTGCGGGAAGCTTAGGAGTGTGTCAGAGTGTGAGGGTGAGGGTGGTAGTGTGAGAAGCAGCATGTGACAGAAGGAGCCCCGGCATGTCCCACTGTGCGGGAATATAATGGGGACAGGTGAGGCTGGTATCATAGAGACAGTGAGTGAGGATGGGCTTTAGGAAAAGGCTGGGGTTCTTGACCAGAGTATAGACTAAGGAAATGTATAGTTACATGGAAGATGGGACAGAGATGGGTAAGTCTGGGGACAGTTAGAATGAACTGGTTTAACTATCTTGTAACTTCTGAAATTGGCTGGGCAAGTCAAAGTTCCTTCCCAGGTGACTTCTGAGGACTGCCTGTCTCTTACTACCAGAGACCTTGGCCCCCATTCCTACTGTCCAGTACACGTTCTGTTCTCTAACAACCAAGTTCCCCAATGCTCTTGACTCCTATCACCACTTCTCTCTTCCTTCCCTATATTCTCACGGCTTTTACCCAGCCGTACTCTTGAATGCAGTAAACTGGCAGACCCTGTCCACTCTCCTTACTTCATCTGCTATTTAGCCCCTTAACCCTCCCTGTCACTCCAGCCTGTTTCCCTCTGTCTGTAAGGCCCTTCTTTCCACTCTCTGTGTTCCTGACCTTCACCACATACAATGAATCATCCTGAGTGTTACCTCTTCCTTCAAGTCTCTCCTGACCCCTCCCTACTTCCAGGTAGAATTGATCACTTCCTTCTTTCTGCTCTCACTATCTAAACTTCCATCATAGACACTGTAAACAACCACACTTCCTTGTATATGTCTATCTCTCCCTCAAAACTGAAACTAGGGCATGACTGTGTCTAAATTATCTATGTAATAACAAGCTCATAGAAGGTACTAAAAAAATGTGGAACCCATGAATGGTCAAATGCATGAGCAAACAAACGAATGTGTAAATGGTTTTGTTCTAACCAAGACAACACCATACCTCATATTCTTTTCTGTCTGTCCCAGCCTGCTCCTTCTAAGCTGATCTGGACCCAGCGATGTACACAAACAGCAGCCTTGAGTGCTGGCCTTTGTCTCCTATACCTAGTCCTCTGTCCCTATTCGTCCTCTTGGGCTCATGTCTTCCCATGGTTCTGCAACATCAGTCTAGGTTCTCACCACAGTCCACTCTTTTGGATGACCCATAGGACACGTTTCTCAAGGCTGACCCTCTCAGATGATTTTGGTACTTGTCTTCCTGCTCCATGAACATAACTATGGAAAAGAGGCGCTTTCTGTCCACGTGTCCTTTCCTGCCTTGGTGGATGGGTATCCTCACTCCAACAAAGCCCTTCATCCATGCCCTTCTCCCATACCCACCTTGCTGTCAACCACATCTACAGCCTCAGCCCCTGGCCTGTGTCTTGGTTTAGGAGTACGGCGCTCAAAACTCTTCTCACTATCTAGAAAATGAGGCCGCACCAAATATAACCACCAGGATCTCAGCTCCCACACTGTCAATTGTATGGGGAAGGAGCAATAAATTAAAGTGGGACTAACAGAGGCACAGTGGGCCTTGGAGGAGCCAGGCTCCAAACCAAGGTCACCTGTCCCTCAGCTATAGGGGACAGAGACTGCTAGAAAGTTTGGTTGGCCGAGAGAAGGGGTAACCACTCAGGGCTCCAGAGATAAGCACTTATTGGGCTCCAAGAAAGTATCAAGGACCAGACCTGAGAGCCTAGATCTCCTCTCTATTAACATCTCAAGAGAGTTAAGGCTGGAACTACATGCAGCTCTCAAATAGTCTTCAGCAAATTGGAGACCAGGCTGAGAAAAGCCCCAGGAGCTAGGGACAGATGGGAGTTTGCCTTCTAGCATCCCCTAAGAACAACCACTGGCTCTCTCTCTCCTGGGAGGGGTACTTGAAGCCCTGAGAGTAGGGGAGAGATGTGGGGGTGGGTGGAGCACAACAGAGGCTGAAAACTGGAGGTTCTGTCCAAGGATGGTTGGTGGCCAGGATGAAGGTGGGGGCGGGGGGTGGTGAGATGCAGAAACTGGGTTATTTGGAACAAGACTAAACTTGGCAGCCAGGGTCAAAATCCAGACCCCTGTGAATGGGGAGACAAAGGGCTGAAAGTCTTGCAGAGGATGGAGGAGGCAGGGAGGTGCTTCTATAGGGAGGTTCCCAGCTTGTTTACACATTCCATCTCTCAGACTTGATTTATCACCATACCTCAGCTTCCAACAACTCACTGCCCTTCCATCTTCCAGGATTTCTCCCACTATGTACACTCCCCCAGCTTCCTAGCCACCAGCCCTGGAGCACCCACTCTACTCCTGTCTGCTAGTCCAAGTATACGTCAACCCAAGGTCTGGCTCAAGTCTCCCTCAACATTTGACAATGATCTTGCCCTCCTCTAAACCTACTGCCAATATATTCATTCTACACTTGCATGTGTCATTTATCTTTTTTTAAGAGCCCACACTTGGCTGTGGTGCCCACCACCACCACCACCACTACACATACTGAATCTGGGCTGGTCCTGTGGCTCCCAGTAACCAACAGAATGCAGAGAAAGTGCCACTGGACCAGCCTCAGGCCAAAGACTTAAAAAAGCCTAGCAACTTCTGCTTTTATAATTTGGGGAACCCTGAACCATCATGTATAAAGTCCAACTACCCTGATGAAAACACAAGTGGAGAAGCCCTACAACCACATGGAGAGAGACAGAGACAGACAGACACCATCCCATGTGTTCTGGCTGAGCCCAGACTTGCAGCTGCCCTGGCCATAGCACCTGACATGTGAGTGCACCATCTTGGAAGTTCCGGTTGAGCCAAGCTCCCAGATGACGGCAGCCCCAGCTGACACTCGTGGAGCAGAAGAACCATCCTGCTGAGCTCAGTCAACCCACAGAAGAACTAACTTCTATAAAACCAGTTCTTATTATGCACCAAGATTCAATAATTACCTATTACTGCATAAGAAACAACCCCAAAACTGAGTGGCTTAAAACAGCAACTGGTATATTCCTTCTCACAATCCCGAGAATATAATACACAATGAGAACCCATTTATTTAAGCATATTATAAGGTCCTCTTATATTCATTAGCTCATTTTTTTTCCTGATAACAATGCTATAAGCTAGAAAGGGCAAGGATTTATCTTGTTCCTCCATTCTGCAGTGTTTTGAAGTGAGTTATTTGGTATGGCTAAACTAATAAGTGGCAGAGCTGACCATATAATGTTAAATGAAGGGCTATTTGTAGGCATAGCTGATGCTCCTGAGGGGTAACTGAGGGAGGGAGTCAGCAGGGGCAGGGCCAGGCAGGAACTAGTCAAAGAGAAAGCAATGACAAGAGATGGCCAGATTTAAAGGAAGAGGATTTGAAAGACTCTTGTTCAGAGAGGCTGATTGGGGAGGAGGAAGGGAGACTGATAAGGAGTGACACTGAGGTGACTCAGCACAAGAGGACCTGAGAGAATGGTGACACACGGTGAAAAAGTCATCCCTGATCCAGTGGGTGAGCTAAACGGGAAACTGCAGATGCTGCTCAGGGGTCAGCCCTGTCAGCCCTGAGGAGCTGGGTGAGTCATTGGGCAGCTGGCCGGGGCCACCGACACCACTTCACACTGGTCACAGCACGTGGGATCTGTTCCAAGGAGGCCCACACTCACCAGCTATGTCTACATTATAGGAAGAGTCTTCAGGGAAGACCTTTAGTTTTCTAACAACTCAACTTCAGTGTTCTCTCCACAGGGGCATGTAGGGTGCAGAAGAGAAGCAGAAATCCTGCTGCAGTGGGGACGATGTCAGGTGGTGGGTAAGCAGTTATCCCACCCACCACACAGCCCTCCTCCTGCCCTCTGTCCCGTGTCCCGCCAAGCAGCAGAGGTTGCTCCACCAGCTAAAATGAAATTGCCAGCCTTTGTCCCACTCCTGACATGAGCCTCCTCTCCAGCCTGGATTTCCTTTGTGCAGTAGGTATGCATGCCTGAGGGATGCTGAAGACAGCAGTCAAGCCAGGTGCTCTATGCATCCGTATAAGGTCCCTAGGTCATTCAGACTCTGACCAACAGCCCTAGAAGAGGCCATGGGTTCCTTAGAGGTGCCCATGCATTAGGAAAGGGATGGAGATGTGCTCCAAAGGGCCATAAGCACTCTACCACAGGGAGTGCCCAGCAGCTGGCTCCACTGCCCATTCACTGTCGGGGCTTGTTTCTTCTGGGTGGCATGCTCTGCGTGACTATTGATGTGTGTTGGTGCATGGGTGTGTCCTATGTGTGTATATCCTTCAGGGAAGTCTGGTCCATGCATAGCACATACGGAATTGGTGATGAATTTTACAGCCAGGAAACCTCCCGAAGGCAGAGTTGTGAGTTGCAAAATAAAAAAATGGAGAGAAATATATTTCTTTTGTAAAAGTCTTCCCTCCCCCATTGCGAGTGTTGGAGTGAGTTAGTAAGCAGCCTCTCTATACTTACTACAGAGACAAGTATTCACAATCGGAGGAAACTCCTTTGATGAAGGCACAAATGGGAAGAGAAAGGAAGACATTGTGGAGACAGGTTGACAACACCTCGATGAGACACAATGAACACAAACGGTTGGGGGACATCCGCTTGGGGCTCTGGCCTCAAGCAGATGGGTTTCCTCTGGCAACACTGCATGCGAGGCAGCAATTTGCCTATAGAGGGCACAAAGGGGTTGGGTGATGCTGGCAGCTTCCACAAATGTGGCCATTCTAGCCAGGAGGGGGAAGAGTCCAAAAGGCCACCTGCTGCCACTCCCTTCGTGGAGGTACAGTCCTCTGTCATGAGGGCTCTGGAGGTCCAGGGAAGAGTATGCATGCCCAGGAGTGATTCCGGGAGCTCATTAAAGACACTTTTATGATCTAGGTGGTAGGGACTGTAATACTATTATTATCCATCATGTGTATTATTAATCATAACCATAATTACATCTTACATTTAAATCATACTTTTACTCTTTTGGGGTATTTTTCATCCACAACTTCCCTTATACATATAAGAACCTTAAAAAGGGAAAATAGTAGCCCCATTTGACAGACAAGGAGACTGAGGCACAGAGATTACCTGATTTTCTAAAATTAGCAGTTGAATTATTATTAGTTCACAGTTGAGTTGGAACTAGAAATCAGTTCTCTAAACTAGTAGCTAGTAAAGCGGTTCTTGACCTGGGCTACACATTAGATTCACCTTACAGGGGGTGGTCTTAAAACTCCAGGCCTCATTCCTCCCTGCCCTCACCCCTGTGATTCCCAAGTGCAGTCAAGGTTGAAAATGACCTCTTTAGCCTCATGTGAGAACTCACTGGAAATGCAGAGTCTCGGGTCCCACCCCGGACTTGCTGCACCAGAATCTTCAATTTAACAAGATCCCTAGGTGATCCCTAGGCACACGAAGGTCTGAGCCCTGGGCTAGTGCATCTAGAAAGGCCCATCAGCCAACCCAGTCTGAGTTAGAGGTGAGAAGGCTGAGTTAGCCGTGAACTTACTCATCATTTCTTAAACTTTAAGGTGTATGGTCACAGGTTGTGAATTAAACAAGCTTAAACCGGGAACTCTATTTCAGATTCCCTAGAAATGGCAGAGGAAAACTTTTCGGGTAGGGGGCAACACCTGTTGAAAGGCAGGTACCTGTCATGTGCACACCTGCCCCACCGTCCACGCAGACCACTTTCTCAGCCTGTGGATGCACCGCCCTCCCTCCTGGCCTTTCAGCTTGACTCACCATCTACAGACTTGGAGGGAGAGACCACAGGGCTCTTCGTCTCCGACTTCACTGGACTCTGTGCAGGAGAAGCAGGTGCTGACTTTACAGGTGAGCCAGGCTCCTCTGCAGTGGTTTCTTTCTCTCCTGAAAAATACAGAAAACCACCTCAGGATAGAGGTCAAGCAGAGGAGAGATGGACAGAAAGAGAGAGCATAAAAAATGGTTTTCTTTTACTTGATCTTCATTTCTCCTGGCTGGAGTTAGCTGCTCCCCTAACCTTTTGTTATTTGTTACATCCTGGAGGAAGCCAATGGGAGGAGTCCAAGTCATATTCTGTTTCCTCCACCAAAGCACATCCAACCATGGAATATGTCACCCCTGATGTAGACAGCAAGACTGCAGGAGCATTGCCACGCACAATTTGGTGGCATGAAGCTCATTTTTATTGATCTGATTTATATGCTCAGTGCAAAGAATGCCTAGGAATAAAAAGCACCAATTTTTCTACCTACATTTTCAACTGGTACATTAGAACTCTGAGCAAGCCAGTAAGGTTTTTCTAGTGCCTGCTCGGCTGGTAGATAGGAAGACATCTGACTCTGAGTGGGGAGGGGGATGGTGGAGGAAGACCCTGCCCCCAGGGAATGAAAGCCTAGCCTGGCGGACAAAGCCAAGAGTTGAGTCCTGGGTCTCAGGCTCCAAGTGCTCCTGAAGCAAAGAAGGGACAGCTTGATGTGGGGGAGTAGGGAGAGACAAAGCGAGCTTCTCAGCAGGAGGGGGGCTTTGAGATGGAATCTGAAGTATAGATAACTCTGGATCATGCTGGCCGAGAAGGGAAGCCGTGCCAGGCAGGGACAAGGGCATGAACAAAGACATATGGATGATCGTGACTATCAATATCTATCTGGGAATCAACAGGGAGAGATGGGCTTAACTAAAGATTCTGAAATTAAGGAGTGCGAAAAAGACATAAAGAAGTCAGCTAGTGGAGAGCTTTGACTGCCTAAAAAGTTTATACCAGATCTGAAAGATAATTAGTAATTACCACTATTATAATTATCTATTACAGTTAACATTTATCTGGTGTTTTCCTGGCCTATGCCATATTTACAGGCAATTCTCTAAGCACTCTAAAACGTTTAACTCTTTATACCCGGATGAGAGGGTCGACGAGATCCCGAAGACACCATGTCACAATGAGGGTCATTATTGTGGTTAATATAGTATTATGCTAAGAATATTATTTGGTGATTGGCTAGGAAGGTCAAATTGAGGATATGACAAGAAGCACTAAAAATGAAAACAGAGGCTAGACTGAGCCCGGAGGGCCCTGCCAGGGGAGGCTTGGGTTCCAGGGCTGCTGGTTGCTCTGCTTGCTCTCTGGGTTTCCCCAAGCTCTCCCCTCTACCCTGGAAGATCCAGAAGCACTGGGTTCTTTACCTTCCAGTTCTAGTTTCTTCCTCTCCACCTCTTTCTTGTATTCCTCCAGCTCCTGGTCAGTGAGTTGGCTGAAGGGGTTGGGCACCGTCTCCTCTGACTCATCCTTGGTATCCGCGTCACCCTTGGCCATCAGCTGGCTCTCTGTAGACTGAAAGTTAACCACAGAGTGCGTGTTGCTCTCTGAACGCCGGGGTTGGGGCCCAGGCCCGAGCTTCCTTTCACTCATGTGGCTGCCAGTGGTCTTGCTAGGGATAGCGTGACATGCAGCTCCTTGGAAACAGCACAGGGCCTTGGGGTAGGGCTTGTTCACGCCTCCCTATGGCTACCTCAGCCTCAGACCCAGATTCTTTGCAACTGCCTAGATGAGTGCACAGGATCCACCCTCTGCCCCGCAAATAAAAATCAAAGGATGCTCCCAAGCAAAAGGAAGATACAGCTTTATTGCAATCCTTCCTGTAGACGCTTGCAAGCCATCACTATGCAAATACAGTCAGCGGCCCAAAGTCAGTCAGCTCCAAATTCAGCAAGCAAAGGGTTGGCTCAACCAGCTTCGTGCCAACTGTTCCCCGCCATGCCTCACCCCCCACCCCGCAAAGCAACACAAGCTATAGCACACAGCAGTAAAACACACAGTGGCTTCAGCATTCTCAGTCCAAACTGTTTGTCCTGTTTTGCACACGGTCATAAATTACAAAGGGACCAGGGGCCTGAATCTTGGATCTTCAACCGTCTGTACTGCAGGTCCCGTGGGGACATTGGCAAAATCATGCTTTCACCACCTCTGTGGAGCCCCTTGCTCTGGGGAGCGCACTAGCTGGGTTAGCTTGTGTAGCTCAAGGAAGGGACTAAAGTTCAGACTCCACAGTCCTTTCTCCTAACCCAGCATCCTCACCTTGACGTTTGTGAATGCAGTGCTCTGAAGCTGAGGAGGAGCCACAGAAAGTAAAGCTCAGGGGAGGTGAGCCCAGAGCAGCTGGCCTGTACTATGTACTCCAGGCCATCTCTCCCATGGGCGCCTTCCAAAAGAGGGCAGCACTGGGCCTATCTTAAGGAATCATGGGGTTTAAAACAGAGTCCAAGATCAGGATTCGAAGAAGAGGGACTCCAAAGAGAGCATTTGGTATAAGTGGCAGAGGTTTTTTGTTTTTGTTATTGTTTTTACAATTTTGCTCATTCCATTGAACTCTCACCTCCCCCTAGTATCATGCAGCATTTCTATTCTCGACCCTGTGGCACAGTTGAAGTAGGGGTGGAACTGGGTGTGATTAGAAATCATGGCATTACCTCAGTTTGCTCAGCAGCAAGGAATGGTTCCCATATTCCCCCCTTTCTTACTGCTAAGGAAGATGCCATGACCACTGCTGGTTTGCAATGAGCAGCAATTATTTCCAACATGAGCAAGAATTCTGACCTTCACCCCTTTTGCTAAACACTAGACAAACACTGTTCTATCTCAAGCTTGGAGACAACGACTATACTTTCTAACTCTATGTGGGTTTGTGTAGACAACTCCCTGGCCCTGTCATCGGTAGGAGCACCGGTCCTTATATATATGCCTTCCCTCTGAGAGCACATGGTCATTGTCCCAAAGCTACAACCTCATGATGCCATATCCATACAGAGGCCAGAAATGCTCAGGGCAAGCAGGTCTGGAGCAGCTGGGAGCTGCCAGCCACATTTCTGTGATCCCCACTTTGCAAGATATTGGTAGAGGGCAGAGTGGAGTTCCATGTAGGAAGCATGAAAGCCAGCGTCATCCCCAGGGCCAGGCCGGGCAGCTGCTGCCCCATCCAGTGCCCAAAGCGGGTGATTAGACACTGTCCCTGGTCTTTCACAACATCCGTTTTGCAGCAAAGCACCAGCACCCAAGATCACAGGGGAGGTGGGCATGAGGACTCAGGGGTCCTGCTGCCCAGTCCCAGGCACTGAAGACCCGGAAAGCAAACTTGTTTCCCCTCCAGACAGGGGCCGCCTCTGCTGTACCGGGCTTCGGCTCTTCTCAGCGATGACGCTTGCCAGGAGCTGGGACTGGGGCCCCGCTGACTTCACATCTTGTCGGTTTTGTTCTCGAATCTAAGTGGAAAGGGAGGGGGAGAGTAAGCTCAGCGTGCAGAGTCAGGCTGCGGAGTTTGGGAGGGGTTATTCCCAGGGCACAGTGCTGTCTAGTGTGGCCTGTGCCTTGGTCTACAGAGGTCCTCCCTGCTGTAGGAGTCTGTCTCCTCTATTCCAAACACAGCGCATCCACTCTGACACGGTTTATGCACAACACCAGAGTCTCATTGACTCAGAGAAGATAACCGCAGGGGGTGAAGAATAAAAGGAGGCATAATTGACCCTTGAGGGAGATTCTCAAATTTTAATATTCCTGTGAAGACCCTGAGGGATTTGTTTAAAATAATACAGATTCCTGAGGTCACCCCACACCTACTAAATCTGAATCTCTTGCTGGGGGCCGGGGGGGGGGGGCGGGGGGAGGGCAGATGGCCCAGGAATCTGCATTTTAAACAAGGACTGCAGAGGGGCCTTGGACCACATATTGAAGCAAAGTTCTATGATTGTATCTGACCAACTGGAGGTGGTCTGCTACAGCCTGGGTTTTTAAAGTGACGTTAGAAATATAAGTGAACTGTAAAGCAAAGGTGGAAAAATAAACAAAGGATTTTGAAATCTTGGTCAAAAGGATAATAGTATAAAAAACATAAAATTCATAAAAACTCAATCTGTGGCTGGGTCTCTTAGACACATTTAACGCCTAAAGCAAGCACCTCTCTATGAAAGAGGGTCCCATCAGACTACACAAGTCCAGCACTCAGCACAGTGCTGGGAACAGGGCCAGTAAACAGTGCTTTCTTTCCTGTGAGAGGCATCAGGGGTGTTGGTAAGTCAAGCGCATCCTGACACTGACCCTCCCCCCAACTCCTGAGGGAGAAGAGATAGTGAGACAACTAGCTACCACCATACCTTGTTCCGCATGTCCAGCACTTCTTGGGGGTCGGTATAGAGAGGCACAAATTGGTTTGGGTTTTCAATTCGTATTGGCATGCCACTGCTGGATTTTTCCACCTCATCAGCCTTCATCCACTGAACACACACAGAGCCAGGTGGTAAGACAAAAGGGTAAGGCCCGCGCATCCTCCCTTGTGGTCCGCCCCATGCCACCTGGGCCCAACGGCCTACATGGAAGGTCAGTAAGCCTATACATACATGTTTTCTCCTGTCTGTGATGTCTGTCTCCCAGAGCAGGATGGGCAACAAATGACCCAGCTGCCAAAGAAGGCCCAAGGTCAACAGCCATAAAGAACACTTAAGACTAGGGGCCAGAATCTTCGTAACCAGCATCGACAGGGAGGCAGCCCCTTGAGCTTACATATTAGATGACTCCATATTGATTTGTAGGGCTTCATTTTTATTCTTTTTTAAATGAAGAGCTATTCTATTTGGCTGCCAGCTACTTTAATGGCAATGAAAAATCAAATTAAGTGCCAGATTGTGTGCCTGGGGAGGAGGACAGCGTAGTAGAAATGAATATCCCACCCACCTCCTGGGTTTGCATCAGATGTGCAGTTCAAATGTTGGATACCCATCCTTGAACTTGCCAGAATTCCCCTCTAGATGTGGGAGCAAGAAGCCCAAAACAATTGCTCCTCCCTTTTAGACTGCTGGGGGTGGCCTTGTCCGGCCATCCTCTGGACCCAAAAACTCAGTGCAGACATGTAAGAAAGAGGTGACCATAGACTCCATGGGCATGAACAGCTGCTCCTGTTTGCCTGACAGGAAGCCCTAAAGGGGAGATTCGTACTAACACATGCCCAGGGAAGACTTGTTCTACCCTATTTTACATCTGCTTAACCCATAAACATAACTGAGCACTCTCTACCAACCCTGGTTTCCCCCAGCAGGAGACCCCCCTCTGCCCGCCTTACTGTGGTCTTGGGCCGGGGGGTGCCCATGCTCCTCTGGACCTCGTCAGCCACGTTGACCCGCAGATAGGTGTTGGGTGTGTTTAGCCAGCGGGTCTTCTCCTTTTGCTGCTTCTGGGCATGCTGCCTCAGGGTGGGCACTGGGGTGCCGTCCTCCTCGAACACAAAGGCTGTGACTGTGGCTGGAATCTCCACCTCACTTTTGTGTTTGGTTTTCTCTTGAACAAAGGGGTAGCGGTATGTGTAGCCTGTCCTGTAGCCCTACAAAGGACAAAAAGAGAACCACTTAATGTGGGGAAAATGACCTGTATGCACCTGCATGCCCACCTACACACACCGCCATGCACTCCATCCCCTTCTACCTAATGACTCAGTTTGAACATTAATCTCTGCAATACAACCTAGACCTTGCTGCTTCTCTGGTGTGTTTCAGAATTGTTCCTTTCTTGATGTCCAAACCCCTCCCTTCCTCCACCCCAACGAGCCTCTGATTAGGGCTGAGGAAATCCCTGGAACCTTGTGATCTCCACAGAGCTCCTTATCTAAACCAAGCTCCAACTTTTCATCTGGTACAGTGGTTCTCAGCCCTGGCTGCATGTTGGAACCACGTGGGAGCTCTAAAAATGCTGATGCCTGACCCTGGCCAGAGGGGCTCAGTTGGTTGGAGCATCATTCCGTAAACCAAAGTGTTGTGGGTTCAATTCCTGGTCAGGGCACATGCCTAGGTTGCAGGATCAGGCCCTGGTAGGGGCATATATGAGAGGCAACCGATCAAAGTTTCTCTTGTACATCGATGTTTCTTTCCCTCTCTCTCTCCTTTCCCCTCTCTCTAAAATCAAAACGCATGTCCTCCAGTGAGGATAAAAAAAAAACCCTGATGCCTGGAGTCCTGCCCATTTCATTGGAGCTGATATGGTTTGAGCTACAGGGTTTTTAAGCTCCCTAGCTGATTCTAGCAGTCAGCCTTCCCTTCCTCAACTCCAAGGCTTAACTATTTTCCTCCTAGAACCCTGAAATCTGACTCAAGAACATTGTTGTCTCCTAAGCAAGACCATGTCCCGCAAAGGCGAAGCTGACTGGTGCTGAGAATGAACACTTGGGAATCTTGGCGGCTGATGGAGTGATTCTTAGCCCTGCCCCGTCTTCTCCAACTCTGTTTTGCTCTTTTTTGGTAACTGGTAAAATTGGATGTTTTAAATTACATTTAATGGCCACTTGAATCTATTCCTTTGTAAATTGTTTGTGTTCTCGGTCCATTGTTCTGCTGAGATGTTTTTCACATTGATTTGTAATATCTCTTTACAGATGCTTGACTGTCACAGGTGTTGCAAATAACCACAGTTTGTCTTTCAGCTTTGAATTTTAATATCACATTTGTCAATATTTGTTATCGTGATTTCAGCTTTCCTGCCATGCTTGACAAGGTCTGCCCCAGCACAAGAGCATCAGAAATGTTAATCTTCATTTTTTAATACCTGTACAAGTTTTTTTTATGTTTTAATTTTTTATCCTCACCTGAAGACTTGCTTATTGATTTCCAGAGAGAGGGGAAGGGAGGGAGAGAGAGGAAAGAAAAACATCGATGTCAGAGAGAAGCATCGATCGCTTGCCTCTTGTTTGTGCCCCGACTAGCACAACAAGGCTTTCGTGTTGTAACTGTGATGTCAGCCATTCTGATGCCCACTTAGTGCCTCGTACTGACTGGTCCAGGGGCTAAGACTCAACAGACTGGCCTCGAAGGACAATGGTAGGAGACTCACCAGGTTGTCCAGCATCCTCATGAGGGCCTCAAATTCGTGTTCCCCCAGCCGGCTCTTCTGCATGGGCCCAAAGGTGCTCCCAGCCCACTGCACGGAGCCCACCTCGTGGGGCCGGTGCTTCTCCTGCTCCAGGAGGATGAGGTTCTCCACTCCCCCAGCACTGGACAGAGCAGACACCTGAGGCAAAGAGCAGAGAGCCCTCAACTCAGGTGTGCCTACGCGCATGTCACACACACACACCTGTGCACTTAAGCTCACATGTGTGACGGAGAGTGGGGATAAGGGAAGATTGGAAACAGAAATGGGCTGGAAAATCGAGCTGTATTTAGCTTTTTCCTCCCAAAGGAAAAGCCACCCCAAATGTGTTGGGCATGCACCAATTCCAGAGAAAGAGCTATTAGCAGTTTCTTTCTTAATGTCACTCCTTAGAGATGATAGAGGACAAAGCAAGTGTTCAACCTTAAGAATAAAACAATATAGAGAACTGAAAGTTACCTGGGTTACAGGCAACTTCAGATTGTGATTATTTCTGGGGAAGGTGGGAGAATGGGATTGAAAAGGGCTCCAAAGGGATTTAAAGTCTCTTCTGCAATATTTTATTTCTCAAGAGGAATAGAACTGAAGCAAAAAGGCTGTTAATATTGTTAAATTTGAGTGGTGAGTAGCAGGTATTTATTATATTATTCTCTGCATTTTTCTATGCATTTGAAACATCTTCTACTTAAAAAGAAGTCACTTAAGAGAAATAGGCTGGCTTCTAGGCCAATGAAATATAAGTGCAGCTCGATGGGCTGAATTAAGAGGTCTAAAGGAAGAACGCATCTTCCACAATGGGATCAGTCCATCAAGGAAACCCAGACGAAGGCAGGCAGAATGCCAATAGTGCACAGCCAGGCACTGTGCACGGGGAGGCAGCTTTCACCAAGGGACTTAGAGTATTTGTTGTGTTGTCAAGTCTCCACGGGGAGGGGACGATACAGGTGGTCACAGGCAACAGATGATGAGTATCAGGGTAAGAGGGGTGTGTATACAGCAGGCAATTTTAGAATGATCCTAAAAAACATTCAGCAATATCACTCCTTTATTTTTTAATTCCATGCTCATCTAATAGTACATTCTATTTGCTCCTCATATCTGCCACTCAAATAATTGGTCATGATCTGGTATCCTGGGCAAGTTCAGCTACAGAAAGTAATGGAGCCAGGAGTTTTGCACTGCGCATCAATACCCAAGCATTCTAGTTAGCACCTGATAATCTGTGTAAGGCTGCTCATTACAGGGGAACAGCTCCTATTATATAAGCCTTCAGGGTTTCCATTCTGATGACAGTTTTTTTCTTTTTTACTGAAAATGAAAGGATACAATGCTTTAGCTTGCTGATGAACACAAGTCTATGATTCTATAAGGATCCTGGACATGCCCTGGAGTATGTTAAATTCACCAGGGTAATGAATGGCTCCTATGAGACTTCTTGGAGCTCGGCCAGGCCACCTTCCCAAGGTGACCCCATCACCCTGTGAAGAGGAGGAAGCTGGAACTCTAATTGTCCACATCCTTTTTATCCAAGACATATGACCAATGGAAGGCTCTATTTTTAATTGAAAAAGATGATACCATGAGCTGGCAAAGATAGAAACCTTAGGGGTCATTTTTTTCCATCCTCCCACCGACAGTAAGAGTCCTTGTCTGATTTCCCTAGGAGGTGATCAGCTCCATGCCTGGGGAGGCAGCCTACGGTACTGCTGTCCAAGCGTTCAAGGGTCACAGTGAGTGGACATAGATTACATTGAGTTGAAATCTACTGGTCCCAGTTCTGTGCTCTGCTGCCAGGTTTTCTAATCCTGAAGTCCCTCACACCCAGCACCGAGGCTGAGTGCTTGGAACGCACCCTCAAAGGTGGTAAATTCCACCTGGCCAATCAATTTACCTAGTTCACCTGGATCCCCAGCTTGCCCAGGCAGAACTTTAGCCTGCGACCTGAAACCCTAACTTGAGGTGCCAGTTCTCTGAAGAGAAGTCCTGGCCTGTCAGCTGATCTTTCCTACCAACTCTTACTGTCCCGAGAGGCAGTGCAATGCAATATAGTGTTTAAGAACCCAGACTGAGGCACCAGGCTGCCTGGGTTTGAATCCTGGCTCTGCCAATTACTTACTGTGTAACTTTGGGCAGTGATTGACCCAGTCTGTGCCTCAGTGTTCTCATCTGCAAAATGAAAATAGTACTACCTACCTCATGGGGATTACTGAAGATAATATTTGTAAAGCACTTAGAATACTTCCTGGTGCATGTGGAGTGCTGTATAAATATTTATGGCAAATAAATTATAAGGTTTTACCATTTTATAATTTATTTAAGGAAGGCTGAGAAGCAATATCCTTTGGATACTGGTCATTCATGGAGGAGGAGGAAACTGCCTACATCCTTGCAAGAGCTGCCTCCTCCCACCTCCCTCTTCCTACGTTGGTTTCCATGGCGATGGGTAGCAGATGGAGAACTGCCTGAGCTTCTTCCCATCTGCCTGTAAGCAGAGCAGAGAGCTCTCTCTCTCAGCTGGGGGTGACCCAGTTTCCTGGAACCCCAAACTGATGGGGAGCAAAGAGAACACTGTCCCAAGAGAACAAAATAGGCTTTTAGTCTTGAATCACTAAAATAACCACAATCATGTTTGCTTGTTCACCAGAGTCACTGAGGGAGAAAACTAGGCCCACACTGTAAAGAGAATTTCACTGCTGGCCATCAACCAGAAATGACCTGGCCAGATGCTGGGACCCCAACAGCATCTGCAAACTGCCAGTACGTGGGGTCTTCCATGCCTTAAACCTCTGGTCTAACCTTGCCAGGTTTCCTTCCTCACCTTCCAGCTTTATTTCTCCCTCTAGAAGCCTCCCTGCTCCACCAGCTCAAAGAAGCTACTGGAGTTTTTCTGGGGTTTTCTGCCTTTGTCGCCTGATGCGTTGTAACCAGATCGCATCAAACCAGTCTTGACTGAAAAGAAAGTGACAGCTGGCAGAGCCAAGAGAAGCAGCTGGCTAGCTGCCAGCTCTGCCCTTTCATCTCTGTGTTTGTTACGTGGCCACCCTGCCTCTGGCTGAATTGCACACTGCCCACTTCTGAGGGTCTGGGGCCTGGGAGAGATACACTTCGCCATGGGGGTCACAGGGGTACCTCTCTCCATTCATTCTTAGGGCTGTGCTATCTTTGCAAACAGATAAGAACTATTTCTCATGGGAGCCTCTTCAGAAGAAAGATGGGAAGGTCTTAAAGAGCTCAGATGTGGGGTAGGGAAAGTGGGCATATCAGAGGCTCTGCCATGTTCTGACACCAGTCTGGGGTCAGAACTCAGGGCCAGCATCGCTGCTTAGGGGACAGGGTGCCCATCATGTCAGGAAGGCACTGCTTTGGTCCTATTCCACTTTCTCCTGTTCTGACAGCTGCTGGGATTTTCCCCCGCCAAGAGTAAGATAGGAGGACAGTCTCATACCACTGTCTTAACAACTGTTTTCTTAACACATTCCTTTAAAAACCATCAAGAAAGGAACTACTTGTAGAGACTTCACTAGTGATGCTTCTGGAACACAATCCCCTTCCCTGTTACTCCCTGGAGAAAGGCCTTCTTCTTGGGGTGCTGCTCTGCCCAGACCAGGCAGGGGAGGGCAGACAGAAGCTGGCTCATACTGGAGCAGCAAGACCCTACTCTGTCCACTGAATCCCCAAAATACCATCAGCAACACCTCTCCTTTATACAAAAGTCTGTCCTCACAAGGACTCTACAGGCCCTACATCTGTAGCTGAGGACACTGAGGCTCACAGAGGAAAAGTCCCTGACTCAAGGGCACCCAGCCCAGAGCTGGGGACGATGGAGCCCAGTCAGCTGTGCTAGGACCCTCCTCACCCCTCACACCTCACCACACTGAAAGGAACATGCCCTTGGCTTATCCAACACCACTGACCTGATGAAGCTCTAGGATTTGTGTTTAATTTCCTATTGCTTCTTCACCAACTCTTCTAGGGGGTCCCATAACCATGGACACTCCCACCCACCACTTCCCCACCTCTTACTGGTTAGGGGAATTTCACGATGGGCTCCCTGCACATCACCTTGGGGGTGCCCTGGTGTTTACCTGCCATGTCAACCCTCCACCTTGCCTACACTCCTATTCTTTCTCTGGACTTGACCATGTTCGTGGTCTTTGCAAACTAGTCCCATCAAAAGAAGGAAGGAAGGCAGGAAGGAAAGAGGGAAGGAAGAAAGGAAGGAAGCCTACATGTGTGGTGTCTATAGGCATAGCCACATGCAACAGGTACACCCCAGGCAATATATGAACATGGCGAGAACTTTCATCTGCCCTACTATGGTTTTCCTGCTGTCCGACTGATGAGGTCAGACAGCTCCCCACTCTAGGCACTGACCCCCGCCTAGAGCTGGGTGTTGGTTGTTAGACATGGTGATATATTTTTAAAACTATACAACTGCTTCTAAGTTTGATGAATAATGTGTTGCCAGGAGAGAGAAATAGGGCCAGGCGTTTCGACACTCAGCTTACAGGTCTCCCTGAATCACAGCTAATGGGGTGGGGAGGGGGCGGCCTTTGTCCACAGGCCACTGTCAGAGCCACTCCCCAGAGCACCTGCTCACCTGTACCTCACATGCAGCCTGCAGGTGGAAGATCTTATAAAATGCCTCCTCCACAGTGTCACCTAGCGCAACCACGCCATGGTTTCTTAGCACCAGGATCTGTAGAGAGCAAATGGCCAATTAAAACTTTGAGCCTCCAAACTTTAGGTAAGAGGGAAAGATTTCCCATATCCAGTCCCGGAGCAGCCTCTCCCCAACTGCTTGTCCTTTCTCCTTACACAAATACCCCCATGTACCCCACATGTAAAACCACTTGTGATTTTAATAACTCTAGAAATAGAAAGTTTTTTTTAAACAGTGAGACAAAATAGTTTGGTGGGTTTCTTTGGGCAATGCCTGGGTTTTTAGGCCTTGGAGATCTTAGAAGTCTGAAAAACTAGTGTTTTTGTTAAAGTAAATGAAATTATTTTATGTTCAAATGAGTATCTAACCTCAAAAGAAATTTCTTGCCCCTGTGAGTTAGTCAATTTGGGATTCAAAACCCAATGGGGTGGCTGTCTAAGAGGTGACTCGGCAGAAACAGGTGAGGAGCCTGAGTCCCTGGTGGCAAGTCCCGTGACCTCTCTGGACGTTGGCGTTCCTCTCCATACATTCAGTGAGGTCCCAGCCGCTGTAAGATCCTACAGTTCAATGAACGGCGTCGCAGTGACCTTCCAATCTAACTCACTGGTTTTACAGTAGAGGAAATAGAAACCTGAAGGGGCAGGATGGGAACTAGGACCCAGGTTGTGTCACTGCTGGTGCCACATTTCTGACTTAGCCAGAGGGGAAAGCAAATAAAAGGAGGGAAAACCCAGAAAGGCTTTATCCCAAGGGCTTGACTCCTCAAGGTGCAGATGCCAAAAATTCTTGGTTGGTTTTATCCTTGAGAACTCTCTGAAACCAGCTGGTGCCCACCTGGGAGCTGGGACAGAGATCTGTGTATCGCACCTCTCCCCGCTGACCTGGGCGGAGGCCTAATTATCACATCCTCTCTCGCCAGAAACAGCTGGAGGCTTTCCCTCTGAAGTGCCAGAGAAGCGGAATGAGGCAGTGGCTCTGGCCCACAAGAGATTTTGCAGAGAACAAATGTTCCGTATTTCAAATTCCTGTAACAGTTCACAGAGGTGAACATCTCCTTCCTTCCCGGGCACTGCTCATGAGGCTTCAGAGAATGTCAGGAGAGAAGGGTAGGGGTTTCTCCTCTGTGTCAGAAATGGGAAGACAGCCAGATGGAAACGACAGCGAGTACCTTTCAAGGACGGGAGCAGGCGTCCATCAGCCCAGGTCTGGCTTCTAAACTTCCTATACTAAGCTGACCACCCCAACTATGCAGTTATAAAATAGTGTTTAGACTGTAACCAACAGTAATGAGGTTCTGTTTTTCTCTATCAAGTTAGGAAAAAAAATTGCTAACACTCAAGTTCGAGGGGCCACAGAGAAACAGCTTTCTCATATATTGGATGCTGCAGGGTGGAGAGAACAATTTGGCCACATGACATAAGAATTTAAAAATGTGCAACCATGGAAATTTACCCTAAGGAAATCATCTCAAGCATATACAAAGATTTAGCTGAAAGGATTTGCCTTGCAGTGCTGTTCATATCAAGAGGTAATTTGGGGAACAAAACACTTCCAATGTCCAATCATAAAGGACTGTTCAGGTAAATGGTGGCACAGCTATTCAGGCAATGAGATAAAATTTAATCATTTAAGATAGCGATGCAGAAAATATTTAATAACATACAAAGGTGTTTACTGTATGTTGCTAAGTGGGAAAAGGAGAATATATTTTATGATCCTAGTTTTATAAATACATGTGACTATATCTGGGGGTGTGTACCAGAATCTCACGGTAGTATGACAGAGAGAATTTTATGTTACTGTTTTTATTTACAATTTCTAAACATCATCCAATGAACATGTGTCACTTGTAATGTCAGCTCTTGACAACCCCTCCCTGAAATATCTTCCCAGAACAGCTGAGCCAAACCTTGCAGGTGGGTCCAAGGCACTTCTGCAGGTTGATCCGATCCGCTTCCTGCTCCATCTCGCCGTTGAAGTCATAGTAGGCCATGTCCCCCACCAGCAGGGCATTGTGGGAGACAGGCAGGAGGCCCCACTTCATGGCTGACACCTTCAGTGGGATGGCAGAATGGTTAGCACCTGGAGCTCCCAGGCCCTCTCCTCAGAGCGGCATGGTCATGCTCTACCCTGGGGATGGGTGTGGGGACCAAGCACACGAGAAAAGCGCTACCATTTGACTCTCTTCCACTAGGCTGGGGTCTGGCTTTCTGGCTACTTCCTCTAGTGTCCTTCCATCACAGTTTTCATAACAGCTGTGTCAATATATCACCTTGTAAAATTGCTGCAAAGAATGCACTGGAGAGAGCTATTGCTGCTGCCAGCTGCCTGCTTTGCTCTTGTCCTAGGACTCTGGGGATAGGTTGAGGTGGTGGAGTTGGCACCAGGCTGGGGCAGAGCAAGGCCTGGGCCCCCTGGGGTGGGTTGGTGGAGACCCTCAGCCTTGAGGTCAATGCAGAAACAGCCGTGACTCCTCACTACCTGGAAGGCCTGTTGTGAAGCTTCATTTCAACAGCAGCGAAGCAATCAATAAGGGTACCTGTTGTAACCCCTATGGCCCACGCTCTGCCTTTTATTAAAAGCAAGGAGAAGTTTAGAAGAGCTTCTTGGCCTCCTTCACTCATTTTGCCCCATGAGTAAGCCCAGGCTCTGCACACTTGGCACAAAGACATCATCCACTCTTGGTCCAAATTCTGCAAGGTCTCAGTGCTCGTAATGAATGTGCTTTGCTGCAGAAACCACAGGCCAGTGACAAGTCTGCCCTGCCCCTATAAGTGTGTGGCCTGGGGGGTGGGTACAGTGGGGTAAAGGTGGAGACAACCAGAACAGGTTGTCTGCTGTCTTTCCAATTGACATTGCAGTGTCTTGGAAATACGTAGAGAAATTACCAGAGACTCTGAGGGGACAACCTGTTCCTTGGGGAGGGTGGGTCTTTATTCTACTCTCTCCAAGATTTCCTTGCCCTCATCCCCAGATCTCAGCCCACCTGGGCTATGAGAAGTGGGCAAGTCCAAGTTCCCGAAATCTTCTATCTAGATCTCTCCTCACCAGAGCCTGGGCTGGTGGAAGAGGGCGTGGTATCAGCCCTCAGCCCGAAGGCCCTCCCTGGGTAGAGAAACTGAGGAGGGGCCATCACCCGGGTAAGTGGTGCCAGTTTGTGTATGTGGCAGGGTGAGGGACATGGTGGGGCAGACATTACACATCTCTACCTTCTCTTCCCAAACCAAGGCTTCCGTGGTTAGAAAAGTGGAGACAGTTAGGGTCGCCGCATTGGGCATTCCTTCTCCCCACTGTAGCACGAGTTTTAGGAAATCTTTCCAGAACTGCTTAGATGATGACATTGTCATTAGCTTGGGGGTCTTCCATCTTTGCCCAGGGGGACTCTCAGAGAAGCAGTACGTGGGGTTGCTGCTGGCCTCAGGGGCGAAGGGTTGGCCGAGGCAGGACACTCACCGCTGCCGTGGCCGGCGTGTGCAGGTGGATGACGCAGCGCACGTCAGGTCTGGCTGCGTAGATGGCCGAGTGCAGAAAGAAGCCCGTGGTATCCACTGGGAAGCAGCTGCTGCCCTTCTCCACTACCTCTCCCAGGATGTTCACCTTGATCTGCGCCAGAGAAAAGGAGAGACTTATGGCTGCTGAATAGACACTAACTTCCCTCCCCACAGGTGGCCCGCACGTGACTACCCACCAGCATTCATTCATCCATCACACCCAGCAATGGCTGTGCTTGGTGTTGGGGGAGAAAAAGACCCAGCTCCTGGCCTCAGTGAGTGCTCAGGCTAAGGTGGGACACAGGGGATTAAATTCAGCATGAAAAATGCTACAGCAGAGTTTCTCAAACTTTAGTGTGCATAGGGAGCCGCCTGGAGATCTGTCAAATGCTGGTGTCGATTCAGGAGGCCAAGAATGGGGCCCAAGTGCCTGCATTTCTAACAAGTTCCCAAGTGACACCCAGGCTGCTGGTCCACGGATCACACTCTGAGTAGCAAGGTGCTGGAATAGAGTCATTTGCAAAATTCCTTAAAAGCAGATGGGAGGAGTCCTTAATCCTGGTAAAACACCTATTTACCAGTGACCCAAAAGCTAGGTTTTAAAGGACAAGTAGAAAGTAGTCACTGGTTTTTTAATATGCTTTTGACTCTAAGGGCAATAGGTGTAATGGCTAAAAAAATCACATGCTCCTGTGAAAGTGTGTGTGTGAGTGGGTACATGTGCACGCACGCACAGTTGCTGATGGCTCTGGCTGGCGTGGCCCACAGTGAGGCTGTGGTGTGCCCTATGTAACATCAACAATCTCACACAATATCACCATCAGAGAAGATCGCTTTTGACTGTGACACAGCAAGACAAAAGTTGGCTCCTTAATCATATCTAAGCACAGACAAAAACAACACTGCACAAGCACAAAAATGACCAACACGTCGCTCCTGGCCAACAGGAGACCCTGGAGCTTCTTTACAGCAGCTCCAGCCTTGCTCCATTCCCCTCACTGACCTCTCCCCTCCCCCACCTTAAGAATCACCCCAGCATCTGACAGTGTACTAGCCAAGGCAACACCACCTTCTCAGAACACTCCCCAAATCACCCAGCACAAACCCAAATGCTGAAATGAGCACCCACCTAACATGCCCCCTGGTCTTCCTGATCATGCCTCCTGGTCTCCAGGGTACAACCACCCTGCAGCTGGTACTTAATCTAACTCATTGACGACAGGTGTTCCCTAGCATTACTAACAAGCTAGATTTTAGTTTCTAAAAATCACAGCAGCTTTGGCCCTTAAAGCTGTACCACCATGACAGCCTGAATGCAGCACACTGGGCAGAGCCACAGACCGCCCACCACCCCCATTCCAGAAGGCCCAGAAGACGAGATGGTACCACAGGAAGGGACAGACTCCTCCAGGGAAGGGATGTGCTATTGACATCACTTGTTGAAGCAGAAGCATCAAATTCCATCTTACAAAGTTCTCTTTGAAGTGAGTTTTACAGAGTGAACATGACTTCGAAGTGGCTGACCCTTGGAAGCGGCAGCAACTCCCCCTTCTGAGTGTCCAGTGCTGACCCCTGGTTTCCCTTCAGCCCAGCTCCCCCACTTTCTCAGATGTGTGGCCTGCACACAGTTCTCTCCGTGGGATGGCCTCTCTCCGATCTCATGCAATCCTCACCTCAGCCATGAATGTGTGATCTGTTGTCACTTAAGAATCTCTATGGCCTAATAGGGCCGCTGCTATCCCATATAGTGACTTTTTGTCCAAGTGAGAACAGCCCCCTCTTGAGAAAAGCACCAGGGGCACAGGGCTTAGTGTACAGAGGCTTCCACTGAGTAAAATTGAAAAACAAGCCCAGAACCGGAACATACTTCGCACAGGTTGGTTTTCACTCTCCCCACCTCCCTCACCAGCCAGGCTCTCTGGGGCAGTGCACAAGCGCACACACCCTGACCATCTCATGCCCTTGACTCTCTAACCTGTATGTCTAGGTCATATCTCTTTTGAACCTAGGGCAACCAAATGCCAACTGACTCTCTTCCTGAACATCCCACCAATTCCTCAAACTTAATCCCACACCCCCAACCCCAGTGGTCACCAGCCCCACTAAGGCTGCTGGCCAAGAATTTCCTTCCTGGCTGACTGTAATAGCCCCAGCCGGTGGCGTGATGTCAGTTTGCCCCCACACAGTTGTCAGAGGGCACTTTCCACGATGGAAATCTGATGGCATCACTTGCCTGCTGACAGTGCTTCAGAGGTTCTGCGTGTCCAGCAGAATAAAGTGCCATAATAGGCCCACGGTGCCCTTTATCATCTGGTCCCTATCACCTTCCCAGCCTCACCTTGAGACACTGACAATGGGAGCCAGACTTGGCACCTCGCAGGTCCTCCCAGGTGCAGCAGGCCCTGGCATGCATTCGGGCTTTGTGCGTGCTGCCCTCCTGCTGAGGACATGGCCACCTCGGCCCAGTCTTTCCCTGCTGCCCTTGTCTATGTCTGCTTATCCACAGTAGCTCCTGAGGACGCCACTCCTTCACCATTTCAACCTAGAAGCTCCTCCTTTGCTCCTCCTACAATAGCCAGTGAGCCCCGTGCCCCTCTCTAGGTTCCCCAGGCTTCCTTCGTCTCTGTCAGAGCACTCTACAGTTTGAGTTTAATTACTCATGTCCTCCCCTCATCCCTCCACCCTCCTATGAATGCCTTAGAGACAGAGCCTGTGCTATCTTTGTGTCTGGCTCTTCCATGACCTCCTTGGGTGGCTCTGGGCAAGTCACTTACCCTCACTCGGCACCAGTGTACTCTCCTGCCTGTAAAGTGGCCTGACCTTTCAACTGAGTCCTGGACTGAACATCTGAGCGTGTTTCAAGCCTGGTAGAGGCCCCAAGGTGGCATCTTCTCTCCCAGGTCCAATAGCTGGCACAAGAGCTGTTGCCCATGCATCGAAGAAACATTGGGCCTGTTCTGCTTCTAATACAGTCCTTTCTACTGCCTTCCTCCTTACACCCAGGAATATTTCTGGATTGAAACCAGCTTCTGAAAGTTTCTCCCTACCATACCTGAAGGAGCAAGAGAACTGAAAGGGGTCCCAAAAGCTATCACTGATGACACCAGCACTAGACAAGTCTTGCGTTGCTTTGGGACAAAGCACTGGCTGCCATTCTAATGTATCTCCCATCCCAACAGCCTTCCCCACCCCCAGTCTTTGTGGTATAATCCTAGGCTCAGAGGACCAGGCCCATCTCCTCTCCTTTCTGTGGGGCTTGCTGCCTGTGCTTCACATTTGGTCTGGTAGTGGCATCATGCTCTGGGCCCTCAGTTTGTTTTGGTGCCCAAGTGTCTTCTTGTCCTACCAGATTGTAAGCTCCACAAGGGACAGGACAGCAGCGGATAATTTGGAGATGACCATCGCTGTAGGAGCACAGAGGGTACTGCCATTTCAATAAGGAATGAGCAGTGAGACACAGGACTGCACTCACCAGGCTGGATGCCGTGACTTCACTGCAAGAAACTCCCTTCGGGCTAATCAGGAAGTGGTCCTGCTCCTTGCTGACTCTCAACTGGAGGAAAGACACACACTCTCAGTGGCAGGGGAGGGGGTCATTTCCAAGGACATTCTGCTTGAATTCCCTCTTCCCCTGAATCCACTACACCCAAATCTTCCTCTTAAGAACCTTTATCTCATTCACACCCACCTCAACCCATGAGAGATAAAGAGAACTTGGCCTTTATTTGGAACTAGGGAAATGGAGCTACAAGAGGAATCTCTTGATGGTGAAGGGTAGCCATAGAAACAGGGCCCAGGAGTTTCCAGCTCCCCATCTAGAGGAATGTCCACTGGCCAGGTTATTTCAGGATGCCATAGTGGTTAGAAACCTTGGCCAAAGGCCACCAGCAGTGCCATGGTCATGGCAAAAGTCAGAAGTCCTCCCTTCAGATTTTGGGGGGCCCCACCCACTCCAACATGCTCTCCTCACCGTGACGTAGGTGTCGCTCAGCTGGGCCCAGCCGTAGAGGTCCAGGAGTCGGTAGACACTGCTGATCTTGCACCGCATGAGCCGCTCCCCCTTGGCCAGGTTCAAGGAGTCGGCTGTGTGGAGGTCATTGATGGGTGTCATCATGGAGAAGTCTGCAGGGGGACAGGGTGGGGACAGGGCAGCTCTCAAGATCAGGGGCTCCCATCTGTACCCCTTCCTTGCCCTAGTCCTCTCCAAATTCTCACTGGCACTACAACTGCATGAGAGACTTCCACAGGCAGGAAACTCAACATTCTCCCATCTTAACCCAGGCAGAGAAAATCCAAAAGTCCTCTGCTTATATGGGTAAGAATGGAATTGCTTTTGGTCAAAAAATCATGACAAGGCTTAAGGCCACAGAACGAAGCATTCTCAGAAGGCCAAGCTTACCGTAAATCCTACAGATGGACATTGAATAAAAGCAAGAATACGTTTCTGAGTGCAAATGTGGTATATTTCATCATTTAGCTTTCATGAAGAAGTTACTAATCATTAGACCTGCTATTACCAAACTGTTGTAACTATACCATGTGATATAACTTTTTCTCTGATTTGGAAACAGGGCAGATAGAATGGCAAGTCAGCCAGGAAGTAAATTCTTCAACCTTTTCTGACAAGTCATAAACTTCCAGAAGCCAGTGTGGCTGTGGTTGGCTGAAGGGCTTCAGGCCTCATCTGCTCCCCTCTGGATGTGAGTCTCTTGGTTCCTTATGGTTTCTTTTCGAGAATTTTGGGGGCTGTGGAAGGGGTTTGGAAATGAACACAGAGTGTTTGATGGTCCTGTCCTCAGGGCACCCAAAGGGTTTAGGAGTTTACGTCCAGTCTGCCCCATTAACCATGATGACTGTGGCCTGAAGGCCTTGAGAAGGCAGCAGAGGGCGTCTGAGCCCCAGCACTCTGACTTGTCAGTGTGTGGGAACCAGTAAGAGAATAAACAGGAAAGTGCTCTGGCTTAAAAATGATGTCTGGCTGGGAGCCTCCTGATGCTGCCTCTCCTAGCGTCCTATCAAAAACTTTAATGGATTAAAATGTTCTTTAGGAACTTCTGCCATCTCTATAAACCTCACTACTACACAATGTGATGTATGTCTTGAACCAGGTTTGCCATTAGTTGAAATAATGAGATGGATGTGAAGACGAGGGTGGAGTGGGTGCTGTTGGCCCAACATAAAGCAAGCAGAGCAAGCCTCAAACACCCACGGCAGGACAATGCACCCAAAGGTGCATTACCAGGGTGGCACACCTTCAGGGCATGTTCCAGAAAATGTAGCTGACAAGGACTGAAGCAATCCAAAGATCCAGTTCAATGGGCAAGAAGAGCAATAAAAGAACTCCAAACTCAACAATTTCTAATTCAAAGGGACCAATCTGGGATCCCTTCCTCCTCTCCGTGCATCATCCTGACAAGAAATTACTTACGTGCTTCACCCCAGGCACCAAGAAGGGAAGCATATCAAAATCATAAGGCCCCTAGACAAAGCCAGGCAGGGGGAGGTGGGTGCCATTTCGGGGAGGGTCTTCAGAACCAGAGTTCTTAGAGTCCTTCTCTTACAAGTAACTATGGAGTCCCAGTGATGCCCAGGAGGTCAGAATAGGTATAAAAACCCTGTCACATCCCCTGCATCCTGTATCAGAGCCCCCTCTCCCACCACCACTCTGTGAGGATTACTCCGCCCACAGGCCTGAGGGCCAGAGAAGGGAACCAAGGGCTCCAGAGGAGTCTCCATCCTCTGCTCTCAGGGTCTTAATGAAAAGAAAGCCTATTCTGACCAGCCCACACAAGTTAGGATGGCTGAGCCCCAGGTTTATGACTCAGATCTAACTGAGCCATTTATTCAAATTACTTAAGAAAACACAGAAAAAGATAAAAACCCACCAAACCCCCTGAAAGTTAAGACTAAAGAACACACTACTGAAAAATAAATTCCAAGGCTAATGGAGAGGGACAAAGAACTCTCTGGGCTTGAACTCATGACATTTTGACTTCCCATCTGTACATTCCCTGGCTCAGACACCCTGGATGTGCGCTAATCAGACTTCCAGTCATGCAGCTGCCTTCCTGACCGATGCTGGTGGCTGAGGCGACGGGAATGCTGGTCAGCCCTGTTTCTCTCTCAAATGGAAGAGTATAAAGATCGAGACGTGAAATCAATAAAAGAGAATATGATAAATATGGGAGACAAATACCAGAGAGCCAGCATATAGATAATCAGTATTGATCTGACAGAAAAAACTTCTGGACTGAAAAAAGATCTATGTATATAAATTATAAAGATTTCCTGCACTCTGCAGAGTGTGGGGGACAGGGAGTCCGTGAAAAGAAGAAGCCTACAATTATTCACTTCCTGGCAACATTTCTGAAATCCAAGGACAAGGAAAAACCCCACAAACATCTAGAAAATAATTTTGATTATCTACAAAAGAACAAAAAAAGGTTGTTTCCAGTTTCTCTACTATAGCAATAGATGCCGGGAGACAATGCTATAGGAAGTTTACAAAAAACAAACACTAAAATAAAGTGACATAAAACTAGTTGAAATGCAATAATCCTCAAAAATATGTCAGGCAAATATAAACAAAAAGTAAACAGAAGTCATAATGTTATTATCAAAGCAGAATTTAGGGAAACAACATTTTTTTGGACAGAGAGCCATTTTGTAGGTTATTTTCCATGGATGCAGGGGTGTCCAACCTGCGGCTCCCGGGCCACGAGCGCTCAGGATGGCTATGAATGCGGCCCACCACAAAATCATAAATTTACTTATAACACTATGAGATTTTTTTTTGTGATTATATGTTGCAATGTATTTAATGTGTGGCCCCAAACAGCTCTTCTTGTTCCAAACGCTGGACACCCCTGGAAAGGTTTAGTCCTAAATGAAGCTACAGTTATAAAAAACACTTATGCTTTCAATGGCATTTCATCAAGATACCCAAATCAAAAGCTATCAGAAAAACAAATACAAATGAACAAAATTCAAATACAATGACTTAACACAACTTTCATTTATTACAAAAACAATAAATGAAGATGTAAATTAAACACTATGCCCTAGAGATGGAGTATATACCCATATATCATTTTTAAATGATATTATTAGGCTACAAAGAAAATCTCAATAAATCCCTAACAGACATTAGATAAGCCACATTTTCTAAACATAGGGCATTAAAATTAGACATTGTCAACAAATCTTTAAAAGAATGCAAATTCAACCATTTGAAAATGAGAAAATATATTCCCAGATAGCTCTCAGAATAAAAATAAAATTAAAAGAGCAATCGCCTACTTAGAAATTAGAAATATAGGAAATACAATGTGTCAAAATTCATGGGATAAGACCAAACATGCTCAAAGGAAAAAAATGTATAGCCTTAAATATCTTTATTATTGAATTAAATATGAAAAGAAATCATCAATTTTATTCTTCTCCAGAAAAAATATAAACAACAAAATAAAGCAAAAAAAAAATGGTATGAAAAAGAAGAAAAGAATTAATGAATATAAAAACAAAAGCAATAAATTGGGAACAAGAAAATTAGTAGAGCCAATACAAAATCCAAGAATTGGCTTATGTGAGAAGTTCTATGCATAAGCCCACACCCAGACTGGCCAATAAAGAGACAGTGGGAATGCACAGCACCAGGAACGAGACTGGGAGGCCATCTCACTCAGAGCAGAAAGTTTAAATGACAAAAATATTGTAATATTGTAAATCACTCTAATAATTTTGAAAAGCTCCAAAAAGTGGACGATTTTATACAAAATGTATGACCAGCAAATTATAGAGCCAGCAAAATAGAGTTTTTAAAAATCCTAGATAAAACTAAGAAAAAATGTTTATCAAAAATATTGCAGATCAAGATGGCTTTCCAAGTGAATGATAAACTTTCAAGAACAGAGGCTTCCTATCTTTATTTAAACTCCATTAGGGCACAGAAGATTATTTTTAAAAGAATGCATCAAGACCAGGAATGATTTATTTCAGGAATGAAAAAAGAGTTCAATATTCCGAAATCTATTAATATAATTCATCTCATCAATAGTCCAAGGAAAGCAAATGCAATAAATGCCCAAAATGCATTTTATACAATTCAACATCCATTGCTGAGAAAAACTCATATCAAGCTAAAATAAAAAGCTATTTCCTCAAAATGATAAAGAACAACTAATTTGAGCTCTTAATGCTAACAGAATTTCCATTAAACTCAGAAACAAGATCAGGATGATTACTCTCTAACTTATTATTAACACATTGCTCTAAGAGTTCTAACAGATGCAATGAAAAAACTGGAAATACAAACCAAAGAGAAGATGTTGGAATGAGGGATGCAAAATGACCATTATTTGCAAATTATGTGATTTTTCTATATACTAAAACCAAAAGAATTCAATGAGAAGATATTAAAATCTAGAAGTTTGGTAAGGGGCTAGTTTAAACATATATAGCCAATGATTTCCCCAATTACAGCAAAAACCAGGAAGAAATTTAAATGGAGAAAGAATCATTTAAAATAACAAATTTACATAAAATTTTCAGGATAAACATAACAAGAAATTAGTAGGGATTATATGAAAATAACTCCTAAACTTTCCTGATGGACATTAAAGAAAAATTAAATAAACAGAAGACATACATCATTTCTGAAAAAAATTAAAATTCATTGATGCAAATATTTTTTAAGCACCTACTATGTTCCAGACATTTTCCTAAGTCCAGAACATTATTCTAGGATATAGCAGGGAACAAAACATACAAATATACCTTTTCCCCTGTGGAGCTTATATTCTAATATAAAACTGTAAATTTAAAAATTCTCCACCAATTTAATCTATCCACTTAATGTAATCCCAGTCAAAATCCCAAGAGGAATTTTTTGAGCTAAAGGGGAGACTTGACAAAACACTTCTAAAGTTATTTTAAAGAAACAACTTGTACAAAATAGTTAAAAAAAATTGCTAATGAATAATTAAGGGTATTCTGTAAGGTGATAAATCACAGGGAAGTTGTTTCTAAGCAGGCAATCGAAAGTAGAAAGTGAAAGAAAATAATAGTGGATTCAACTCTGTGGAAATTAAAGCATTCAACCAGACAAAAACATCATCAACAAAATAAAAAGGCACGCAAGACACTGGGGAAAAAATTACAATATATTTGACAGATAATAGAGAATTAGCCTTACTTTATAAAGATCTGAAAATCTATAAGAACACACAAGTAGGAAAATTTGGCAAAGGATGTGAGAGGCAATTTACTACAAAAAGAAAATCATGTCCAATATGTATATGAAAATATATCCAACCTCATTAGTAACTGCCCATTAAAACACAAATACTTTCCATCACCTATCAAATCATGAGAATGAAACAAATGGAACACATAACCGGGGTCAGGGTGGGGTAGATGGGCACGCCAGTGCATGGCTGGTGGGAATGTAAATTGGTCCCATCTTTCTCCAGGGTAACTTGGCATTTTGCATTAAACTCTATAAAACATGCATATACTTTGATCTAGCAATTCTACTTCTAGTAATTTATCTTAAGAAATAGTCATAGATGTAACCAGACTTATTTACAAGGTTGTTAATTGCATTTGTGTAGCTCATAAGAGCAAGAAGTTGGGAACAATCTAAATGTCCAAAAAATCGGAAATTGATTAAAATATGGCATATTTAGCCATAGCATACATCCACTCAAAATTACATTATAAAACCATAATTTAAGGAAATATTAGTCTAGACATGTTACTAAATGTGTATGAATAATGTGATTCCATTTTTGTTTACATAATCTATATATGTTAAGAAAAAAAGGCTGAAAGGACATATATCAAAATATTGATAATAGCAGTTTCTTGGTTATAAGAACACAGTACAGCAATTTCCCTTTCTTGAATATTTTCCTAACTTTCCACTATAACCCTGTATTCATCTTGTTGAGGGGAAGTATTTTTTGATGTTTGTTCCTTAAAGATTGTAAACATTGTTTCAGAACCCAGGAAGGTGGGTTCACGCCCAGTCCCTGCTGCTGTCCGCTCTGGTCTCTAGAGTCAGGTTGGCTTTGGGCCCAGGAGACATTGGCTTTAGTGGCCACCTTCCATCCCTTCACTCCTTCTCCAAGGGAGTGGCTCCACAGGACTAGGGAAGAGCAACCTGAGTCAGGGATGCAGCTTGTACAGAAAGATTTTTCTTCAGCTCCGTACCCATAGCTAAAGTTATCCGGGAGCAGAATCCTCACTCCGCATTCTCCACTCCTGGGCAAAGGCCATGTAAGGAACCTTGAATTGCAAAGCTCTTCCCTTCATGCTAATCCACCGATGAGGCGGGGTGGGAGAGGTTCCCATATAGGCTGCTCTGCCTCTCAGAGCAGTGACATTGTGTTATCCTGCCCCCTCCCCCAGCATAACCAGAACCGGGTTCTCCCTTGAGTCACCACAACCCCTGCCTCTCCTACTTCTGGGCATCAGGGATCATTCTCCTGTGGGTCTTTAAATGGCAGCAGCATTGGAAGCAGAGCCAGGTACCTCTCTGGTGGCTGCTCAGCTCCCCCAGGTCTACTAATGCAACTGCAGCACTCACCCCGTAGCCAGGCAACCAAGCTGCTTCTTGCTGCTCCTTCTTCTCTTCCCCACCCCACCTCCCCCACCCTCCACTCCTGGCAGCTCCCCAGCTCCCCACGTACTCATGGAAGATGTTGGGAAGACTGCGTGGGAGGTGCTGGCCATGAAGTCCGCGATCTGCCGGAGGGCCCAGATGTTGGAGGAATTGTTCCCCTTCTTCATCTGCTCCTGGATGAGGCCTTCCAGCTCCTCCCTGAAAGACTAAAAGCAGGTCCAGAGGCGCTGGTCCCCTTAGTGCATCTCATGCAAGAGACCCAGGGCCCCTCTTCCAAGTGCCCACTTCGCCCCAGGACAGCTAGGCCAGGGCTGCACTTGGGATCCCTGGGCCCTAGAGGATGTCAGGCAATTCCGCCAGGATTTTAGGAGCCTCCCCAAACTGCTACTGCGGGAGCAACAAGGAGATGCTGGGAATGGATCCTGCTCCCATTGCCCGCCATGGGCTGTGCTCTGGATTCCAGGTCCTGCCTGTGTCAAAGTGGTAGTCAAGGCCCCTCCCCCATTAGGCACGACAGGACTTCACTTTAGTAATCAGGACATTTTAAAAAGCAGAACTGAATGAAAAAGTATGCCATCTTCCCTGTCCATTAGGCATGTCTATGGCTTTTCTGGGCATCAGTTTCCTCAGTTTCAGAAGGATTCAAAGATCTTTGAGGTCTCCACTTCTGATGTCCCTCTACTCTGAAGTCTGGCTTTTCAGACCATGAGGCTAAGAATCAAGCATGCCTGTCCACAAGGTGGCAGTAGGGGACACTCAGGAGGAAACAGCAAGCTGCTTAGGTGTTGGTAAATCCCTAAGAGAGAAGCAGCCCGAGCTCTTCTCTCATCCCCATCACTTGCCTGAGAACAGAGTCCCATCCAATCAGGCCTGGAACTTGGGCCGGTACTAACTCTGCCACTTCTCCTCCCACACCTGCCACCCCTCTTAGTCATACTCTGGGTTTTTTCCATCACCTCAAATGCTTTTAGCACCTGCCATATTCCTTCAGGCTCCCCAACACAGTGTCACCTGTCACCAAGACCTCAGGCCCGTCCCTCAGTGCTCCTCTGTGATGCCAGAGCATTCACTGAGTGCTCCCTGCTAGGGTCACACATGGCCCCTACAATGCCCTGGCTCCCCAAAGCACAGTGGGGGCTGAGGCAGAGCCATCCTGGCAAGCCCCTGGCGATACCAGCTCCATCCCTGAGTTTTCCAGCCCTTAGGATCATGCGCCATTTCCTGAGGACCCCTCAGCTCTGTCGCCCTCAGACTCCCCCTGCTCTTCCTCCTCCCTGCCCCAGAGCATGTGCCACCTTCCTATGTCTGTGGTCCATTAGACCCACATTCTCTCCTTGCCTCAAGGATGAGCTCTGTGTCCATGCCAAGCAGACACCAACTGACCTCGCCTGGAGTCTTGGTGGGGTTATCCTGAGTTGCTCTCTCTTTCTGGGCGCCTGTCCATTACACACTGAACCCCTCCCCCCCTCCCCCACCTCCTGGGGCTTCCAGGCCCTCTTCACCCCTGCATGTCAGCCTTATTGTTTCAACAGTGAGTTCTTTCTGGCGTTCAAGAAAGGAGAGTCCCAAACCTTCCACGTGGCGCCCTCTGCTGGCCTCTGGTTTACACAGATTTGTTCATTGTTAGCTTTTGGTGAGAGGGGAAGAAGAATGGGAACTAAGGCTCAGAAGGGGCACTGGTAACTGAGGTGGGGCTCTTGCCTCTCAGCCCCACCTCCACCCACCACCGAGCCAAACCACCTGCATGTAAACCAGGTTTGGCCATCCAGCAGAGACTAAAGAGAGAATCAAACACCCTTATCTAGCTCAGCGGGCTTAAAACTGCTAGGACTCTGAGCAAGTGAAAGAGGAGTGATCTTTCAGGCTCACCCAGGTGAATCAGCGCCTTCCCCGCTCATCCCCGCCCGCCTGCCCGGCCTGGCCTGGGTCAGACCCCACTCACTGGGCTCTGCAGGATCATGGTGACGCGTTTCTTCTGCTCCATCAGGTTGAAGTCTTGCCGCAGGTCTGCCGCACGGTTGCGAAGGCGCATGTACTCAGGGTCCTCCTCAGAGAAGCGGTCCAAGTACTGCTGTCCCTGAGGCTGGGAAGCAGCCTCGGGGACAGTCTCCTCACTCATTGTCCTGGGGGGTTTACAGTCCACTCCTGGAACCCTGCAGGGGAAGGAAGAGGGGGCGGGCCGGTTGGAGCTCCCAGACGCAGTACACAGCAGAGGGGTTGAATTTTGTAGGATTCACAGAGGGATGAAGCTATTTCCAGGAGGTTGTAAACGGAGCTGCGGGTTCGAGGCAGGGCGCCGGCAGCTGCCGATCTACAGCGGACGCTAATGCATCGTCGGAAAAGTGAAACTAGGACACCGGCTCAGGCGTCCGCCACCCCTCTCTGACTCCCCCGCCAGGCTGAAAGGGCCACCCTCCGGTTGAAGTAGACGGTCCCCCCAGGGCCAGCACGGCCTGCAGACTTTTTTGAGGGTTTCTGTGATGCATGCCTTACACAGAGTAAAGCTACTGGGACGTACTGGGACTTAGTATGTCATCTAAAACGTCAAGCCTCTATGAAAGCTCCTAAAACTTTTTGGTGGTAAATTCACAAAGAAAACTGAAAAGAGAGCAAGAACACTAAAAGGTGGGGAGGCTTTGTGCAATGCTTCTCTGCACAACTTTTACTTGCTCTGGCCCCTTAACAGGAGTGATTAGTGAACCTCTTTCTATAAAACATGTCCCAACGCAGAATTAGATCCTCATTCCAAGTTTAAAAGAGGTCTGCAACTTCCATTAATGAAAAATTAGTTTTTCCAAAATTACGTTAAATCAACATTGAGAAATAATGAAAGGATAAACCCTGTTTGAAGGGCACCAGGTTGCCAGGTTGCCCAGAGTCCCATTTATCTGGACCTGGTCCCTGGACTGAGGACTAGGACAGCCTTTGGAGAGTTGGGCGGGGAGGGGGGGATATTTTTTCTACTCAAGCGTGTCTTCTTAAATGCCCGAATGATGAAGGAGTATCTCCTACCACCATACTGGAGCCCATGAGGAGAAGCATGTTGCAGTCCCAATCTCCACTTCCCGGCTATGGGGCTTTGGCCACACAGCCAGTCCCCCTTTGTCTGCACTGCTGGGCCCTCAAATCTGGGTCACACCCAGGGGGGCTTTCAGAGCTTTAGCCTTCTCCTTGGTGTGTGATCCCCTTCTCAGCAAAGGAGGCAAGTGTCTTGATTGGACAATAATTAGGCTTGAAACAGCAATAAGGAGATACTAACAAAAGAAATTCCATAAGAGCAGCACACCTGGCTTTCATCCTTAACCTGCCCCTCCCTCAGTTTACCTCCAAGGGCTCCCCTTCCATGAGGAGGTGAAGCGCTCTCTTGTTCTCTCAGAGCGCTCCTGGCCTCCCTGGCCCTGATCTCCTCTGCCCCCTTGGTGACCTTGTTAGCCCAAGCCTCAGCCATCATTCCAGTGAGCAGCTCATAACAGCTAGTTGTCCATGAGCTGTCATGACTCTACCCCCACCTTACAGTTCCTCTGAGTGGGGCGGGTGAGGCTGATACACTAGGTAAGAGGACAAGTGGGAGAGTGGGGGTCTACCCTGTCAGCCTAGAACACTTTGTTGACCCCTTCCTTCCTTCCTTCCTTCCTTCCTTCCTTCCTTCCTTCCTTCCTTCCTTCCGTCCTTCTTTCCATTTTCTCTTTTTTGGGGAAGAGAATATAGCAAGTTTAAGAGAAGACACATGGAAAATATCCCTTAAAAATCAGCTGATGGCCTGAACCTTTGGCCTAGAATAAGTGGTTCCTTACCTTGGGTGCACATTGTAATCACCTGGAGAACTTTTAAAAAATACATCAAAGATTTAGATGTTATTAGTCTGGAGTATGATCTGGATGTCAAGATTTTTTAAAAAGTTCCCCGGGTGATTCTAATAGGCAGCCACGGTTGGAATGCCACTGATACTAATGGTTGTAACGTGTAATGAAAATGTCCGTTCCAGGTACTGGCCATCTCTAGCAAGCCTGCCAAAGATGGCACAAAGCCTCATGTTTCTAACGCTAGTGCCAGGTGTCACTTTCTCCTCCTCCCCTTCCAACCACCACCTGCCACCATACACAACCTGGGACAGCAAGGGTGCTCCAAATGCCACTAAAACCCACTGTTGCAAGTTTACCAAACCATGATCTCTGATCTTAATTCTTTCACTAATTAGTCTTCTTATGAAAGTCCTCACCAGATCTCCCCCAACCAGTACCACCCTAACCAGTCATGTCTATGGGGTGGAGGAGGGAGGAAGGAGACTAGGAGCGGTGGCCAAAAACAAACATTCTCTAAAGAAATATTTTGAGACATTTATCCGATTGCCAGAATGGTTGAGGTTGTACTTCCTAACATATAAGGCCAGAGTAACTGAATTCACTAAGGATGTTTCTGGTGGGATTAGCTAAGGACTGGAAGTCAGAGTCTGCAATTTAGCCCCAAATCTGTCATTCTCTAGCTGCAAGGACTTAGGCAAGTAATTTCTCTCTTTGGGTCTCACTTTGTCCATCCCTAAATGATGACATGGACAGAATGACCTCCCAGGCCCTTTCCAGCTGTGACACTATAGGGAGAGAGATCGATTTATGTAGAAAAGATGGAAGCATAGAGAATGCAGATTTCCTGGCACAAGAGGCCTTCTTCCTGCAACCCTCCCCCCCCAACCTCACCCCTATGCTTCTCCCTCAAGCCAAATGCCAAAAGAGAAATATCCGCAAAGAACAAAAATGAGGTACTGGAAGTGCCCTTGTAGGTTCAAGTCAATTCTACGTGATGGGGTGAGTTAAGAATCCTTCACCTCCACTGTGCTCCCACCCAGCTTCATCCCTGGAACTTAGGGATTAAGAAGAAATTGCAAGGTCAAAGAAAATGGGAATGCAGACAGGCAGTCACCACCCAATTCTTCTGGACAGACCGCGCTGCAGACCAAAATTCTTCCAGAGGCAAGGCTCACTGTCCCCCAGCCTTTTGATACTCCTTAGCACTTTCAGGGTCTCAAATCCTTTTTAAAATAGCAACAAGTGACTCTCCTCTACGCACACACAGTGGGTGCATTGGATGTGAGACTGGAGACCCCTGTGTTCCTTATGACTGCTGGTCCCACCAGCTCCAGAACCACCTGAACTCTCTGCTTCTCTGGGCCTGAGATGTTGACCAACACAGCCTGGTGTTGGAGCTTCCTGGCCTGGACCCTTTCCACCGGGGCAGGAAAAGGCTGAGTCTCTTAGCTTCCCTTTGCAGTGGCTGCATTTCCAGGGATGGGTCTGAAAAGGCTCTGAATTAGCTCTCCATTCCCTGAAGCACCAGGAACAAAGAAGTCCTGGGCCTGATGGATACCTCCATGCCTCTGGGCCTGCCTTTACTTCTTAGAGCTCAGCCCCAGAGGGCTGCTCCGGAGGTGCTCCCGTGGATGAGGGGTAGGAAATGGAAGCACCAACTCTCTCACCAGGACAATAAGGGTCTGCTCAAGCCCTTTGACTTTGTGAGCCAGAGGCATCCTTTTATGCTCCTTCCTTCTCTTCCCCCAGTGTTTCTTACGTGATCCAAGTTATGTGCAGAGTGGCTTAGTGGTTAAAAGCATGGACTCTGGAGCAAGACAATAAGTTCAACTTTCAGCTCTGTTAGTTCTTAGCTGTGTGATCTTGGGCAAGTTACCTAACCTATATGTGCTTCATTTTCTCCATATATAATATGGAGATTGCAACTATTCAGCTCCCTCTTCATGTTGTTGTGATTAGTTAATGTATATGAAGTACATACTTGAAATAGTGTCTGATGCATAGCAAGTGCTATTAAGCATTTGCTCTTATTATGTGTCATTTAGAGGCTAGAATCATCATGGCATTAAGAACTCGAGTGAGGAGAGGCTTATGATTTGATTGTAAACAGGTGCACACTAAACTAATTACATGTTTTAATTAAAAATAATTCAAAATGGAGACAACTGTACTTGAACAACAATAAAAAAATTCAATCTTGAGCTACAGGAACAAAAAGAAGCACATGTAGGAAAGACTGCTGAGATGCCTGGTTCTCTGACCAAATAGATAAAGGGAAACATGTCAACCTGGGACCACAGGAAAGAGAGCGAGCAGGATGCTGAAGATCAGGAGGCCCACATTTGTTGCAGAGGTGTAACATTGTAAAGAATATATCTAGTCTTTGTCCCCAGTTTCTGGCACAGAGCTTCAAAAACCCTTGGGATTTGTAAAATGTGCAAAAGACAATGGGGGTGTCTTCAGTTATTCATAATGAGCCCTTCCATGAATCCTGAATTTATGCTCATGAAGTGATTTATGCGGGGTCCTTAGATAGTTTCAATGGAGGGACTGGTCACCCAGAAAAACCAAGCATTTGATTAGAGGGTTGCAGCTTCAGCCCCACAGCCAACCATAGAGGAAGGGAGAGGAAGGGGCTAGTGGCAAATATGCCTAGTAACAAAGTCCTGCTCCCTAGTGGTGACCCCTTCCCCCCTCCCACTAAAACTGTCTGGACACAGAGGCTTCCTGGTTCGTGAGCACAAGGCTGGGCTGAGCCGGTGACACCCCCAGATTCCACAAGGATAGGGCCTGAAGCTCTGTGTCCCTCCCCCAAGCCCCAGACCCTGCCCTAGGCATTGCCTCCATTTGGCTATTCCTTAGTTGGATACTTTATAATAAAAGTGTAATTACAATTACAGTGCCTCCAGCGAATTCTGTGATTGTTCTAGTGAATTGCAGAAACTGAAGGGAGGATGTGGAAACCCCCAAATTTACATCCTAGTCGGTCAGAAGTATGGGTCGCCTGGGGATCCCACGGTAGCTGGCCTCTGAAGCAGGGGCCATCTTGTGGGCAACCTTGCCCTTTAACTTGTGTGCCCTTTGGCTCTGAGTAGTGCCAGAACTGAGCTGAACTGTAGGACACCCAGTGGGTGTCAGATAATTGGTGATGGAACAGCCGCAGGCAACTTCTATACATGATTTATTTTCAGTCCCAGGACCATTCTATGAGGCAGACATTATTGTCCAGTTTTACAGATAAAGAAACTGAATCAGGGAGGTTAACTAACTTGCCCAAGATCACAGCAATAACAGCGGCGCCCGGATTCCAACCAGGGCTCCCTCAGGCTCCAGATGCGGCACTCTTCCACTCCAGTTGTCCCCAGATATCTGTTGGGTTGTCCTGAGGAAGAAGGATTACACTGATTCCTTAGAGCCTCGGGACCCAGAACCAGAAAAGCCAGTGGTTGCGGCAGGAGGCAGATTCTAGCCAAGGGCGCAAGGGAGAACTTTCCACCAGCAGGAGCTGCTCAGTAACAGGAAGACTGGACAGGACAGGCTGCCTCCTCGGTGGGGAGCTCTCTCCTGGGAGTGACAATGGAAGCCACAGAGGGGCTTCTGCTCCAGCTGGAGGGGTGGACTCATGACGTCTAAAGTCCATCAGATTCCATGGTAGCACGTGAGAGAGCAGGACTGAGGAGCTGTGCAATGACCTGAGTGTCTGGAAGCTCATGCTGGTGAGACAGGCCCAACTGAAAAGTGCGCCCCACCCTCATCACCACCAAATGCTACCGACTATTACCTGGAGGCAGGACCGGCCTTGTCCCAGGCTGTCTCTTCTCAGCGTTCAGCCTGTGCACCCTGCTCTGCTCTCAGGGACGCCATCCACATCTACAGGATCTCAAACATCTGGGTGGAAACTGGAAAACACAAAGGTAACAAAAATCAGGGGCGGGTCTGCACCACCGTGACTCCTGCACCCAGGTTTCACAGCGCCATTCGGTGGGGATTTAGTTTAAGGACTGTTGGGAAATTCTTTAAAATGAACTTGAAATGGATTTTTATTTTAAAAGCAAATTATGCATATAAAAAAGTAAAGCAAGTGTCATTATCCTTATAATTGGGATCAAATTTCATTTCAAAGAGAAGAAATGCAAAATCCCTTTGCTGAGGGTTGGCCAGCTGAGGCCCAGAGGAGGGAGGTGCTCTGAGGGAGGGGCAGGAGTGGAGGGTGAGCCCAGAGGGACCCAGAGCTGCTGGGCCAGAGGGATCTGACACCTTCCTCACACCGGCCCCCAAGTACTTCGCTAATAGCTACTAAACTCACAAATGCTGCCTGAGTGATTTTTGGATGCTACCCAAGAGACAGAAGAAGCCTAAAGAATATCACACCCCAAGGCAAGTGGGAGGGTTTTGGTGTCGCCCAGGCCAGGAATTGGCAGATTCAAGACAATTTCAGCTAGAGTGCAAGGGGAAGAAAGGCCCCAGCTAATACCTGGATAACAGGTTATAAGGTACTACTGAAGGACGAATGAAAAACTGTTAATATCTTACAAACAAGGTCAACTTGCTACTCCAAAATTCCTGGGGATCAAGGTCTTCAAAGGGTTGATCATCGAAAAAAAAATTTTAAGACAAGTGATCATTGTCCATTTTCACTTGGAACACTATTGGTCAGACCATAGATGCTTGTCTCACCTGGGCTGGCAGCATCCCTGCCCTGACTCCCACCGCAGTGTTAACTGTGGGAGCCAGGCCCTGCCTCGCCTTCCTCACCAGCCAGCTCGGCTCCATGCCTGACATGGTGCTGCCAAAAGCAGAGCACCCGGAAGACTTGTCTCACCGCTGAGGGACAAGGAGGCTTCCTCTTGGCAGGTATGGCGTGTCTTAGGGAGTCCAGGACACCAGGGTACCCAGGGCTCGGCACTTCAGTGCCTGGGTGGCCCCTGGGCCCAGGCCTGATGCTCACTCCTCTAGTTAGGGACTCTAGAGAGAGACCTCCAAAAGCTATTCTCTATGCTCTGCACGTCAGTGGCCAGCCTTGACCCTCCTTTCACTGGTGTTATTTTTAGCTATAACAGGGTCACAGCCACCATTTCATGCTGCTTCTGTCCAATGCCCACCAACGTGGGAGCCCTCCCTTCCAGGGTAGGCTGGCTCCATGGCAGCCTTTGCTGACATACCTCCGGATGCTGTTCTGTGGATGGGTGGCCACTGACCCTCCCTCAGGACCAACCCAGCAGCCAGGTATGCTGCCTTCCCTGAAACATCAGCTTCCCCCTTCCCTGGGGGCCCCTGCTACAGAAGGGGGAGGTGGTCCCTTATCCGGCTACCGTTTGAATTTTCGGAGTCTGAGCTATTTTTTATGTCCACTGAAAGAATTAATCCTCTGCCTGCAGAGTGACTTGTACCATTCATGTAAGACAGGCATCTGACCCTCAGATAAGTATACACTATATACAATAATTCCCACCCCAATTCCCCCGGTGTTGAAGTTGCACTATTAGAGCTTCATTCCTTGGCTTATGGGGTTATCTCCCAATTTAAATGAAAACAGACCTGGGAGTTATTGTAAGCAAATGTGTTATTTGTAAAAGATTCTCCCGTGGTACCAGAACTGTCAAATCTCTGACTGCAGAGCCAGGCCGAGCAGTGGCAGCACAGGCTCCGAATTGGCACGGCTTAATGCGGGGAACGGAAAAGAAAGACGCCTGATTCCGGGGCCCCTCAAGAGAGTCCAGCGCCTCAAGCAGGGCTGCCAGCCTCAGCGAGCCTCGGGGGACTCTGGCCTGCCACCACTCTGAGCCTGGGCCTGCTATGGTGTCAAGGGCAGCGCCACCACCCACTTAGCCTTTGGTTTCCTCAGCACGTGATCCCAGAGCCTAGCTTGCCCCAGCTTCCAGCCACCCAGGCCTGGGGCAGAGCTGAGAAGCAAGCGGAGGGCACCCTGCACAGTGAGAACAGCAGCATCAACCCCCAGGGTGCCCGACATCTCCTGGAAGGCAAGGCTCCTCCGGCTGCCTGCTCCCTGCTCTCCGCATGCTCTCAGGCTGGGCTGGGAGGAGGGAGAATTAGGATATGGGATTCTAATCCTAGTGGGCCATCCAGCAAACCATAAACCTGGACAAGTCACAGGTGCTTAGGGGCCTTTGCCCACCTGGATGTCCCATGGCCACCTTGAAATCGACCTGTGGCCAACCCTGTTCCAGAGCCTCCCTTATCCAGCCAGCCTCTCCTCTCTGCCCCCCACCCAGCCAGCCAACCCTCTATGGGTCCCCGAAGGCAGCCTTGACTCCCTGCTTTCTCACTCTGCACCCCACTGCCCTAAATAGCTCCTTATCCAGAGTACCATACCCGGAATGAAGCCCACATTTCTCATCCCTTTCATGGTCTCTACCCAGTCTTTCCTCTCTTATACCCGCATCCACTCAGTAGCCAGAGTTGCTGCTCTAAAAATGCAAACATGGCCCATGCCTGTCACTGCCCTATGAAAAGCTTATCAGAGGCTCCCATCACCTCGGGCCATGTTCCTTTACCTTTTTTCCCCCTAATTCCTACTCCTCTAGCCAAAATTTTGTCAAATTCACATTGTATTATAGAAGTGACAGGTAGGTATTCCTTTAACATTTATAAAATATAAAATTTTAATTCTGAATTCATTTTTTCAAACCAAGCACATGGTCCATGTTGAAAATGCAAACCCACCCGTCCTGACCAGGGGACTGGGGGCTGTGGCTCTCTTGTTCTGGCCACTCCCTTCCTCTTGGAAACTGCTACCCTTTGGAATGAGGCCCATGCTCTTAGCTGGCACACAATGCCCACGGACCTCTCCATGTCTGCCCCGGCCACCTCCCCCCATGCCTGTCATTGGTGCTCTTCCCGGGACCTGGAAGGCATCAGGCTGGTTCCCACCTTGTGGATGGTTCATGCTGATCCTCTAGACCTTGTCCTTTCAGCTTGGATTGTCCTCTCCCAGAAACCTTCCCCCCACCCCTGTCCCTTAGGCTCTCAAGTCACTGCGACTCCTCCCTTTCATTCCACTTCCAGTTCAAGAGTAACGGTCTATTATCAGGAGCTCCTAGTGGGCGGGGCCTGTGTCTTCAGCATTTCTCTATTCACCCTGTTGCCCTAGGACCTGCGGCCAGGTAGATCCTAAATAAATGTAAGCTGGAACTAAAACTCAACTAACAGTGAGTTGGGAGGAGTCAGGCTGGTTCGGCAAAGCAGCACTGTCCAGGCCTGGAGTCCAAGTAAGGCCCAAGGGGAGCCCCAGGCACAGTGTGGGGAGACAGACCCTAAACAGCCCACTTCAGGGTAAGGTGCTGCGTGTTAATGGAGGTTGCGTGGCAGGTGCCCTAGTGCCTAAATCACCTGTCTGAAACAAAACATTCTTTTGTTACATAACCCAAATGCTGGGCCCTTCTGGCAGCCATTTTTCTTGATTACCACTCTCAAACTACCAAATCCCACTCCACAATATAACTTTGATTATGAGAAGACAAGAGAAGGTAATGTTACATACTGTACATGATGCGCCACAACTCCCTTGGCTCTCCACAGCTCAGCCCTGCCCTTCGTCTCACCTCTTCCCGCCTGCAGGCCTCGCCTGCCCCCACCTCCGCTCTTTGCTAGCGGGAGCCCTAGAGCTCCCTCTAAGCACCTCCACTTGGCATTCTCACACTTTTGACCCTACTCAGCAGGGACTCTGTGTGGGATTGAGCACCCGAGGACAGCAGCAGAGGATGGCAAATCATGAAAGACGCTCCCTGTCACAGGTCGTTTTCTTTCCTGTCCCTCTGAAAACCAGGTACATGTAATCACTGGAGTATGAAATCGCATTTCTGTGGGTCCTTCCTTGTAGCTATAAAAGAAACAGAAGGTCTAGAAGGGGGATAACAGATGCACAAGTTGTCTGACTTTTTGTTTAAAATCTGTTTAAGCTGTGAGCACCAAGGAGAGGCAGTTGCCTGTCCCCTGCCACTTCAGGTGGAGGTGTCTAGACAGGAACAGACAGTCTGTATGGCCTGGCACCCTGAGTCTAATGGAAAAGATGCTACAAGGTATCATTTCCCAGCTGCTCCCACCACCGCCCCAGGCAAGGCCACACTCCTGTGCTGGTGCCAGCCTTTGAAATTCCTGGTCCCCTGTCCCATGGCTCAGCTCCAGACAAGGACACACAGAATTTGCTCCAAGCTTCGCTCTCGAAGTCAGAGCCCAAACTCACCGATCCCTAAACGACACTTCCAAACGCGAGGGAGGAGCCTGTCTCAGCCTTGCCGCTGTGACTTAGCAGAGTAAATGAAGACTGTTGAATAAGAGAGTGGACCACACCCTGCCTGGTCTGTTCAGATAACGAGAAAGCTCGCACTGATGGGTGGTGGAATTAGCGGTACCGCTTATCATCAGCTTCTTCACACTTCTGGCTTTTTCAAAGTTCTACGTTGGGTATTAACTGCTGCAACCATTTTGGACAGAAATAGTTTAAGGGAAAGAGAGAGATGGTCAAGCCTGCCTCTGCCCAGCTCTGGAGACCCCCTTGGCTGGAAGGATCCTTGGACCCCCTGACGGCTGCAGGCCTAAGCAGCACTCATATCTGCGTGCCTCGGATGCATGATTTCCTGGTGCAGTCCAGTGAATTTTAAAGGCCTTCTAGCAAAAGGAATCAAAACCTAATGGCTGGTAGGCAATGTTTTCCATTCTTCTGTTATCTAGGATTTTCACTGCTGTGAGAAGAACGGGCCCAGCATTCTTTCAGCTCCATTTCCTCTCACTGGCCAAGCACAATTATTTGTTGAGTATCTCCTGGTACCCAGGAGTAAGAACTGTAATTGGACATGAGAGGGAAGATTCCCAAAAGAAAGGAGATTTGTCCCCAGCCTGCTAGAAGCCCACAATGGGTTAACATGAAAATATATATGTA